TCTTGAATGCCATTCGATAGAGCGTCAAAAAATATATTAATAGTTTTAATTACAACTCAAAATAGCATCATGTAAAAGAGTTATAACAAAACGAAGAAAATTCCCCCCGCACAGTTCCCCCCCCCCCGCGAAATAGAACAGAACGGCTACCCATCATTACTTCTAAAATCATTACTTCTAAAATCATTACTTCTAAAAGTCATTACTTCTAAAAGTCGTTACTTCTAAAATTCTAAGCGTATTTTTGTGAAAATCATTACTCGAAAAACGGGTAATCCATGGAAGTAACGTTACTTTAAAGTTTGTAGATAGGTTTTTAGAAGAATGATTTTGAGAAGTAATGATTTTTAGAAGTAATGATTTTTAGAAGTAATGACTTTTAGAAGTAATGACTTTTAGAAGTAATGATTTTAGAAGTAATGATCGTACCCCGAACAGAACCTCCCTTGGCATAATTCTCACGAATTCGCTTGCCAAAAAAATTAACACAGTTCCCTCTCTCCCATTATATAGGCGGCTGCCACTTCCGGTGTATGCTAATTGATTCCTAACAAAGAGGGTCTCCCAATTTTTCATGAAAAACTTAATTCTAACGTAGAAAACAGATTATTTTATAAATCCTGATATGTGTGCAGGCATCGCAGGGCCATTACGCACCCAATGACATATCAAACGCACCCATCCCTTTTTCCCCTATCGAGACACGACTGGGACATAGAGTTGGGAATTCTGGGGTCCCATGGCCATGGCCTAGCTCCGGGTCCAATCCGCAAAACAAGGGCTCCGGGCGGGAGTCGAACCCGCATCCTACGGTTTTCGAGTCCGATGCTCTCCTTATTGAGCTACCGGGGCACGAGGAATGCCTCTCTCAGGGCAGCTATCCATGCCAGCCCCAACCGGATGCACACACACATACAGACACTATTTTTTATATATAGTAGGATCCTCCTGGAGTAGCTTCGGATCGATCCCAAACTCTGGACAGAAGTGTAACAAACCTCGAATAACAAGAATCCTGCGTTTTCTTCGGATGGATACAGCAGCGCTTGAGTTCTACAGTGCAATGCCGAAAAAACAGCTAACAAATTTTTAAAAAATGCGTATGGCGGCTATTTTGACCATTAAAATAGCTGTGCTTCTGGTGGCTATCACCTTAAAGGGAACGGGAGGGCCCACGTAGCTCAGACAAAAACCGGTGACGTGGGGGAAAGGTGGTCTCTGCGCTCTCTCCCCTGGTCGCCCTCTCTTGCCCTCTCTGACCCAGTTGGCTACCTGCCAATTATAGATGCGCCCTCATCTACATGGGCCTCCCTATCCCTTTAAAATTTTGGTTATTTAGGGCCCTGCCTTTTCCAATTTGGGACCGACTGGATGCGAGACGCCTTAGGGGGGCGTCGACACATGCCGTCTAACGCGCTTTAAGATGGCCTACTCCGCTACCCCCCTGCTTACCTGAGTGCCAGGGATATGTCGCGCCACCATCATAATTGACTATTAAATAATTGGTGAGAGAAATGGGATAAATTCCGTCGTGTCCCGATCAATCCCAGTTCTACTTGTATTTCAAGTCATGACGGCCGGGACCAGGCAAAAATCCTTGTTTCTCAAAAATTATTTCATTATTTGCCCGGTAAAATTCAGGGTCGTTTATTTGAACCCTTTGGCGGTTGTTTCACAATCCGTATACTGTCACTGTCCCCGAAATGGAAATCGTCAAGAATTAATTGAAAGGAGCGAATGGCCCGGATTGAGGATTTGTCTGGAATAAATTTCGGCTCTTACTTACACTCTCGCTTGCAGAAATATGTCCCCCAAAAATCGTATACAGGGTGACCTAAAGGGAGTGTCTACATACTTAATGCCCTATAAAAAATGATCGCCTGCATCCAAACTTTTCTTAGTACCAAACCTCAATAACGAATAGAGTGAACATTGCCTTTCAGAATTTTCAACGGGGCGGTAAGCTTTGGTATCGGACCAGTTCGCCGAAAAGCATCTCGCCGAAAATCTAATTTTGTATGCAATTTTTTTTTTCTGACTTGTTCCATTTTGGCCTAATACTGGCAAAACACTGAAGATGACCGGACCAATCGGTTTTCGGCCTCAAATCATAGGGGAAGTGTCCGGGCACAGAAACCCTGAAAAAAAAGCAACGTTCTTTACTTTTTTGTAACCTGGGGGATGACCGCAACTACGTGAAAAAATTCGCATACAAAATTAGATTTTCGGCGAGATGGTTTTCGGCGAGATGACTTTCGGTGCGATGGTTTTCGGCAGATGGTTTTCGGCGGGATGGTTTTTCGGCGTGGGCAGAATTCTTAAGCTTTGAACTACAGCCCTCCCCCCCACCTTCGATTAGGGCTATAAAATCGTTGTATTTTCAGTGGAGGAGTCCACTGTCCTTCAGAATCATATTAATTGCTTAATATTGTTCGAAGGCTGTCTTTGAATTTAATTAGGCCAAATCACACAGCGTTCCAATTTTCGTCAATTTTGTCTTTGCGTTTTCGACGGTTGGAAACACATCCCTCACGATCGGAAACCTCAGTCCGATAATCCGGCTTTACCGTGAATTGGCTCGTTGCGTGCTGCGCGTTACGGCTTGGGGCGGAGAGCTGACACGCCTATTCGCCACAGCTTGGCTCCGCCCCCCGATGGGTATATAACTAGGCCGTATCTGTCCCCTCCTCCATTCATCTCCTCCTCCTCCTCAGCAATTTACCTAGAAAGAAACCGTTTTCTAATCATTTCCCCGAGTTTTGTCTCAATTTTCTGTTAGCGACAGTCTCAGATAAGGGCAACGTTACGAAAACATCGGCTACTAACCTTCCTCAAAGCAAATGAGGCGTTTCAGTGCAAGCGTAACCTATTGAAACAAGCGCCGAGTTTCGTGGTGCTATTTTCCTAGTACATTCCCTTCCTTTTCTGACTCAAAGTGCAAGTCTTGAACTGAATAGTTCAAAGCCGGTTTTATTCATTTTTGGAGGTCCCTGAGGGCTAATTTGCATAATGCGATAAAATGCAAATTGCCTCATTCTTGCCAGTTGCACTCGCGCGTGTGGTCGGACGGGGGAAGGGGGTCCGAAGGACCCGAGCTATCGGAAAGTAAAATTTCTTATCCAAAGGCCGAATTCCAGCGCCCAAGGCCCGCGAAGCGGGTTTTGGGCGCTGGTCCCCGGAAATATTTTTGGTCATTCGTTTCGACACCTTGGCGACCGTTTCACAATGCGTATACTGTAACTGAGCAGAAAGACGAATTGTCCAGAATTAATTAAAAGGCTCGAAACGGTCTGGATTGAGGATTCGTCTGGAATAAATTTCGGCTTCTGCTTTCACTCTCACTTGCAGAAACTTGTCCTCCAAAAATCGTATATTTTTTTCGAGTAGAAAAAAGTAGGCCCAGGATCGCCATTCAAGAATGTAAACGAGGTTGAAAAAAAATGTTGCGTGAATTTAGCTGCCCACTTCACAAACATTCAGTGCTAATCGATCAGGCACTTTGACGGTAAGTGTGTACTGGAAAAGATTTTTGAGATAGTCAGCCAAGTCCAATATACTGGCTCGGAGTCGGTTGCTCATTTTATTTCTGACGTGGCTAAATCTCATCGGTAATTCGCACTAATGCAAATTAAAACATGCAAAATGGTGAGGAGTGACCGCAGAGGGTCTGGGGAAGCTTCAGCTCCGGTCAGAATTTAATTTGCAAGCTCGAATTTGATGTTAATGATATTTAAAGCGTCGATCTATCCTTTTGCAGCTCGTCGTTGTTTTTGTTCCACGGCTTTTAGAAAAACCGACCAATATTTTGAAAAAATTTCAAGTACATCAAAAAATCTGGCTTTTCAGGCTCCACAGGATCGGCAAGTGTGGTCAAAGAGGTGGCCTTATATTTTTGATACACACTGAATAACGCTGATGAGGCTATTACTAAAATTTTCCGTAAAGTGCCATATCGTGTATTCCCCGATGCTGCCACGAAATTTATTTCACAAAATCATACGCATCGCAATGACTTATTTATATCGGCATCGGTGCGAAAGGTGGGGCGCGTTCATCTAAAAAGCAGAGATGTTGTGCAGATCAACTCTCTAAATTTCCCCGGTGCCGACTTATTCAGAGTGCTGTAAAATTAGAGCCCGCTTGATTTATTTCCTTTTCTATCGGTTTTAGCAATGTGATTTTAGGAATGCTACGGACTCTCAAATTCAGAGTACGAGCAAATGCAAGCCCGGCTTTGTATGAACGGTGAAACTGGCGGAACGGGACTTTTCTCGAGGACCGTGCTTTTAAAGTATGATTTAAACCTTTTCGTCTAAATACATAAATTATTTTAAACGATTTGTAGTAGTTTTTGATTGTTAGAAAGGTGAAAAATTAATAAAACTATGCTAAAATTTTGAAAATTTTGCCATTTTTTTTTGTAATTTTCCATAACTTTATGACCAGAAAGAAAGAACGGGAAAAACTGCTATGTCTTTTATGTTTTGGTCTTTTCTATATTTTGATGCTCTGAAAACGGTGCCTCCCTGTTTATAGGGGCGGGAGCTAATGCTTATTTTTACGCTTATCCCCGTTGACCTATCGGTAATCAATGAAGTATTTTACAATGTTTTTCTTAGTGTCTATAGCAAGTTTTAAAAAATCTTTAAACAATTTTAGAAAAATCGAAACTTTTGACGTTTTTTTGGCCATTTTTCCATACCGAAAAAGTCGAAAATGTACGAATTTCTTTCGCAAATTATGATTTGGCAATTATTTTTTATATTTTTTCTGGATCTAAAACCTATGTCAAGGGGCTATACAAATTGTTTTATATTTATTAAAGGGCCGTAGAGACTGACTGGGACCCCCGATAAAGGTCCAGAACCAAAAAATGTGTCTACTCTGGCCACCTTGGTAACAGGTAAAATTGGCAAGTTACCGTCAGCGTGCAAATCAAAATTTGACAAAAGGGACAGGCTCCAACCTACAGTAAAGCTAGAGGGATGGCGAGTAATTCAGGCGTAGTTCATCTGGACGATGCCCGGTGCGTCACAGCCATTCACGAGACGATCATCACTGGAAAGGAGAATTATCTGGGAATAGATTCAAAAAAACTGCCGATGCAATAATGTGACTCATCAGTATATGTCGCGACGCGGGGGGCAGGCCCAACCATTTTTTTCATTATTTTGCTAAAAACAAAACTCTTAACATAGTTTTTCTACGTCCCAACGAATGGCACTAAAGAACTTTTGAAAAATATGGAAAATGTCTATGAAGCCATTGTTAACACTTGTTTTTCCCATAACTATTTGACAAGACAATTATCCTACTATATATACAAAAATAGTGTCTGTGTTTCTGTTTGTGTGTGTGTGTGCCACTTTACATCCACTTCCGTCTGTCTGTCCGGAGGATATCTCGATAGGGGAGGAATTTTAAGGTATGTATGATACGTCATACGTCATATGGCCTGGAGATGACTGCACGCATATCAGATTTAACAAATTCACCTATTTTCGACATTAAATTTAAGTTTTTGTAAAAACCTCTTTGTTAGGAACAATTAGCGTAGACCGGAAGTGGGGATTCGACTATATAAAGGGGCTCAACAGGTAGTTTTTCATTTTTTGTCACCTGAATTCAGGAAAATTATGCAAAGTGAAGGATAGAACGGGGTCAGACGGAGCCAGGGTTGAAAAATAGCGAAGCGGCTTTTCAACCCTGGTTTTTAACTAAAATTAAAACTCTTAACACATTTTTGGATTTTCTACCGGCTTGCGGCTTTTAAATCTCAAAAAATAGCGGGGTGTTGCAAATCAGCCGCGGAACCCGATTTTCAAAAGTTATTTCTTGTTTTTGCCATAAATTTTTTTATATTGCAATACTCTGAGGTACCAATCTCTTAGTATATTTTTTGATGCTCCATCGAATGGGGTGGCAAAAATCCCGAGAAAATAAGGAAAATCTCAAAAACGCATGTCGGTTCTGTTCCGCCCTCCCTCCCCTCATAGCAGACATATACCGACCTATTGTTGTGGTGTAAACATACGATTCTTTGTGGTCGACATTGCAGTCGAATGGGCCAGCAGCCACGGGCCTTGTAGCGCCGTCTCCGCCGGGAAGTGATTTCGGCGTAGATGCCGTCTTGGACTTGGTCAGGCCCTTCTTTGAATTGGATTCCTTCGATTCCTTCCGTTTCTTAGGGACACAGATTCCCTTCAGAAACTTCTTCTTGGGGGCCTCGGCAGCCGCTCCTGTCTGCTGACCAGTCGTGGGCACCGAGCTCTCTCCTCGTCCAACGAGATTTGGGATCGTCGATTTGCTCTTGGACAGGGCTTTTGGCTCTGGTGGCTGGTTTTTCTTTGTCCTCGATTCCTTCGATTTCTTGACGGCCCAAATGCCTTTCCAGAACGCCTTTGGAGTCTTCTTGGCGACCTCGACAGCCGCGCCTGTCTGCTGACCAGTGGTCGGCACCGAGCTCTCGTCCCGTACCACGTCATTTGGACTCGTCGTCGACGCGGCCTTGGATGTGGCCTTCGGGTCAGATGGCGACGCTTTTGTCTTTCGAATCGCGCAGCAGCCCTTGTTGGCAATCTGTGGAGCGTCTTCGGACTTTTCAATGGTGACGCCAGTTGGTGTGGCGCACTTGTCGTGGCCGAGTCTTGTAGCGGCTTTCACTTGCAGACGCTTGTCCTTGCGCTCCTTGCGCTTTCGATACTTCTTCGCCAGGCGCTTACGGTAGCTGCTAAAAATGAATAGCTATAGATAAGCATCATAAGCCACTTTCACAAATTTTTCTAGGTCCAATTCGGGGTTACGGTGCCCCCAAAAAAAGTACTTGCACCCCCTAGCGTCTCCCAGTCGTGTCCAATTTTAACCATTTATGTATCCATCGAAAGCTCTCGAAAAATCTTTTAGTTTTTCGAAAAGTCGAAATTAAGATGCCAGATTTAGAAAAAGAAGCGCTTTTCGTTTTCTATGTAGACCAGATGGTTACAGTCGCTTCGCGACTGCAACCATCTGGCCTTCGGGCTACCCTACATGTCCCACTCCACCACATCCTTTCCCACCTCCAACAATACCCCGCATGGCTGAAATCCCCTTCAAAAACTACATCGATAACTACCTGATGGCTTCAGATACCCCCCATAGCCGAAATCCCCTACCTAAATATCTTCCTAAATATCTTACCGATGGCTTCAGATACCCCCCCATGGCTGAAATCCCCTTCAAAAACTGCCTAAATACCTTCCCGATGGCTTTAGATGATTTAAATAATTAATTAACATAATTAAAAAGTATTAAAAAGTATTAAAAAGTATTAAAGTAACTTAAAAAAGCTATCTGGGCGCGGGAAGGGACCTGGGGAAGAGGGGCGAAGGGAAAGGGGGCGTGGCCTCCCGGGAGAGGGGCCCCCACTCATTTTACTAAGGAAAAAACTTTCAAAGTTAATTTTAATAATTTAAACTAAAAGTTTTTCATAATTTTTTTATCAGTTTGGGGGTTTCTGACGACGCTCTATCCGAATCCGAAGAGAGCTAAGCTCTAGCTCCTTTCCCCTTTGAGTTGAATTCGGCTTCAGACGGACACACAGACAGACAGACGGACGTCTCTACTTTTTTATTATAGTTGATATGGCATCTCAAATTGTGTGCCAGGGTTGAAATGGCGCTTCGCGGCTTTTCAACCCTGGCACCGTCTAGGAAATACGAAAATATTCACTTCAGTTCTTTAAACGCGCCGTCCTTTTATTCTCCAACACTGGTCCTTTGAAGAAAAAAAATCTCTAAACTTACTAAACGGTCAGCGCCGCAAACAGCAGCACAAGCAAGAAGAGGATGCCGGTGAAAATGCTGACCGACTCGCGGCGTTCCCGGTGACGTTTCTCAGGGTCAGAAACGAACAACAAAGGCATGATATCTAAAAATAGGTTACTTTAAAAATGCCGAAATTTACATAAGTGAATTTCCCGAAAAAAAAGCCCGAATCTGATGCAAAAAAACCGCCGTACAATTAACTCTAATCCCTACTATGTATAAAAAATAGCGTTTCTGTGCAGGGGCGTAGCCAGAAAAAATTTCGGGGGGCCCCCCAAAAAATTTATCCAAAGATCTCAAAACATTGCCGAAAAAACAGCGTCGCAGGCAAAAATTTTTGAAAAAAAAGGTTGCATAGCGCTACAAATAGCCGTAAAAACGTGAAAAAAATAGCGCCGCAGGCGGCAAAACTTTTTAGAAAATAAAAATCATAAGGGCCCCCTTATGAAATTTTCGGGCCCCGGTCGATTTCGGGGGCGGGCCCAGGGGGCCCACCTTACGCTACGTCCCTGGATGGGACCAAGCATATCTTGTGCATAATTTTACGCTGATTTCGAATCTGATTTCCAAATCTGCAAATCGACGCTTATTTGATAAATTTTAGTCCGGAAAAAATTTCTTCAGGTTCAGAAAAAGTTAAAAAGTTCAGAAAAACAACCCTACAGGCCTACCGAAACATTTTCACTTAATGTTTAGGGGGGTCTAACTCCACGGAAACCCTATGAAAAATGGCAAATAAAGTTTATTTTTGTTATAACTTTAAAACGACTGTAGCTATGGGCTAAAAGCCAGGATTGGTGTTATTCAGGTTATGTTACAGATGGGTCGTTTTTTGGGACACCCTGTAGAGAAAAAATTTGGGTCCCCCCTCCACCCATTCTCTTTGCTTTCCATAAACTTTCGGCTACGGTTTACTTTACCCCCCCCCCCAGCCGGAAGTTTTTGGCTATAACCTTTTGATTTTACATTATGTAGGCTCAAATTAAAACTCTTAGTATATTTTTCGGCGCTCTATCGAATGGCGTTGCAAAAATCCCGACAAAATAAGCGAAAATCCCGACAACTTTCAGACCCTTCGGCTTTGGGGGGGGGGGGGTAAAGTAAACTCTTACCAAACTTTCTATCGATATTAGGAAAGCACCGGGAAATATAATATACCACTACTGTACACCCAATCGATCCACAGGCTCAGCACCGGGTCGCCTCGACAGTGCGGTTGCTAAAAGCAATAATTATTAACGTTCGGAATTGCCGTTGAGCAACGTGTGTCCATTGAATTAACCGTTTTTGTTGGACCAACGCCGTTTACCCAAACAGGACCTCCTATCTCTTTTACGTATGTGTGAGTATAGAGTTTCAGAGTTTATGTAAGGTGCTCGTGTTCTACCTTGCAGGTTGAGTGGCAGAGAAACTCTCTGCGCGGGTATCCCATGCAGTCTTGGTTGATACGTCCGCGCAAACCGCTGAAAACACATATCATTTGTGATCGAATAGTCTTTTAGCTCCGCACCACAATAACTACCGGATTGTTGGCACCCTTTAGCTCTGCCAAAAACGCAAATTTTTATCTGTCCCTTTAACCGGAGCAGTGGGTCCAAATGTGTGTCCTTCACGTTTCAAAGGGGCGCGAATTTTAACAGGGTGGAGACAATTCTTGCCCCCATTATATCCGTACGACCCTATACGAAATGTATGTAAATAGAAAAAAATAAAAATAAATCTAGTATACAGGGTGCCCTAATAAAAAGGTCAAACCGGCATTATGGTCCGATGAACTTGATTTTAACAGAGCATTTAAAATGCTCTGTTAAAAAAGGGCATTTAAAATGTTCACAGAAACTTTCAGCACTTAGATTTGGGTAGATTTCCTTTCAGGATAGATTTCCTACCCCCCCCTCCCCCACTTTAAAGGACCAAGCAAGGCCGGTGGACTCCCGCCTGATTTTGAGAAATGTTCACAACATGAATGCACTGGAGTATCCTTTACCCGTATTTTCCGTTCCATTCGAAGGGCATTTGCTCTTCGGTGAAATTGAAGAAGCCCTCCTCGACACCTTGACCGTCGTGGTCGGCAAGGAGTTTGAGTGGCAGGCCGCGCTTGTATTGCTGGAACGCAGTGTCTATAAGCGTCTCCCGACCTTCTTGGGCCCGTCATTGTCAACGTCGTTTTTCGCATACATAAAGTATTAGCGCCGCGTCCCTGCTAACAAGGGGACCGCAAGTTGGCACGGTGGAATTTCGAAAAACGCTGGCGGCTACCCCTAGGTTTTCGACGACGGCGATTCCAACGCGCTAGTCAGAATTAGCTAAATCGACCTGCGGACAGAGATACAGCACTTCCGGGAAAATGGTCAATTTACATTCGGAGGAATTAGCATTTACCTCAGGGTTTATGAGGCCTTCCCATCTCAGAAGAATGACCAGTTGAATGGCCGGGTGGTAAGCGGCTAGCTTGTTAGGATACTGACCAGGGTTCGAATTCACGACTTTTTTTGTTTGTCATGTAATGTCGGACTTCAGTTAACTCCCCTCCCACCCGTCCCCCCCCCCCCTCGGCCGGCCCCGAACTTTTGTATCCCGGTTCCCTGTTGTCCCAGAGGTGTATCACGTATACCAAACTGTTTATTTTTGTCTCGTGCGAGCTTTTGGTGTCAAGAAAAATCCTATACAACAACGGGGTACCGAGATACAGTGCTTGAGGGTCAACTGTGGGGGAGCGGGGTCCTCTGTAACTTAGCCTGACGGACCAAAATTTTGCCGGGCATGGCTTACTATTATTTATCCTACTACCAGGGTTAAAAAGCCGCTTCGCGACCTTTCAACCCTGGCCCCGTCTCCGACCCCATCCTATTTTTCCCTTTGCATAATTGTCCTCCATTCAGAACACAAAAAAAATGAAAAACAACCGTTTCTGCCTCTTTATATAGGCGACCACCCACTTCCGCTCTATGCTAATTATTCCTAACCAAGAGGTTTTTACAAAAACCTAAATTTAATAGCGAAAATGGCCAATTTTTAAAAAGCTGATATGTGTGCAGTCATCCCTAGACCATTACGCACCTAATGACGTATCATACGTAGCCTAATACCCGTCCCTTATCGAGATATCCTCCGGACAGACATCCGGAAGTGGATGCAAAGTGGCACACACACAAACACTATTTTTTTATATATAGTAGGATATATACAAAAATAGTGTCTGTGTGTGCCACTTTGCATGCAACTTCCGTCTGTCTGTCCGGAGGATATCTCGGTAGGGGATGGATTTTAAGGTACGTATGAAACGTCATTAGGTGCGTAGTGACCTGGAGATGACTGCACGCATATTAGATTCAACAAAATCACCTATTTTCGACATTAAATTTAAGTTTTTGTGAAAATTCTTTGTTAGGAGTAATTAGGTACTGTTCTATTCAGGGACGTAGCCAGAAAAAAATTTCGGGGGGGCCCCGAAAAAATTTTTCGAAAAACTCAAAAAATTCACGAGAAAACAGCGCCGCAGGCGAAAAATGTTAGGAAAAGAGGCTGCATAGCTCTAAAAATAGCAGTAAAAACGTGAAAAAAAGGGCGCCGCAGGCAGCAAAATTTTTGAGAAAATAAAAGTCATAAGGGTCCCCCCTTATGAAATTTTTGGGCCCCGGCCGATTACGGGGGGCCCGGGCCCAAGGGGCCCACCTTATGCCACGTCCCTGGTTCTATTTCGCGGGGGGGATTTTCTTCGTTTTGTTATAACTCTTTTATATGATGCTATTTTGAGTTGTAATAAAAACTCTTAGTATAATTTTTGACGCTCTATCGAATGGCATTAAAGGAATTTTTGAAAGATATCGAAAATGTCAAAAAGGAGCTTTCGACTCCACGATCCCATGTGGAAACACCGAATAAACCTTGTTTTTGCTATAACTTTTTTATAAAACAATATTTTTGGATGAAATTAAAACTCTTAGTATATTTTTCGATGCTCTATCGAATGACAGGTTCAAAATATCAAAAAATGACGAAAATGCCGAAAACTAACATTCCGGAACCAGTTTCAATAGTTTTTTTTGTTTTTGCTATAACTTTTTTATATTACAATATTTTTAGCTAAAACAAAAACTCTTAGTATATTTTTTGATGCTCTATCGAATGGCGAAAAATCCCGAGAAAATAGCAAAAAGATGGAAGTTTCCGCGAAGTATATTCCCCCCCGCACAGTTCCCCCCGCGAAATAGAACAAAACCGTAATTAGAATAGACCGGAAGTTGGGACTATATCAATAGACAGGAGAGGTTGTTTTTCATTTTTGTCATCTCAATTCAGGAGAATTATGCAAAGTGAAGTATAAAGTGGGGATCAGACGGGGCCGGCCAGTCGCGAAGCGGCTTTTCAGCCCTGGTATATATAGTAAGATTAATCCTCGAGTAAAAGCGCACCTCATAAATTGGGCGCCCGCGAAATCGGTCAATCACGAAGCGTACGTCCGGGGCTCCGTCCCAGCCCTTGTCATCGCTGTATTCGCCGAGAAAAGTCGGCCGAGCCCATGTTGTCGACGCTGAATTAACGGTACTGTGTAATATACATTGCCTAAGGAGGATAAAAGAAGCTGCATCCAAAATGTCGGTTTAAGTTTCAAAGAGGTTTGCTTCGGCATTTAAAAGGCCCTCAGCAGATTTACAGCCGGAAGCGTTTCTCTCAATTTGCTGTCGCTTGGTGGATCATTATGCCCCTAAAAATTTCTGTCCCCCCGAAACCTGCTCATGGATTTTGGTCGATTTTTGTTTATTTGATAAAAAGTTTCAATTACATTATTTCGGGCTGAAATCAATTATCTTAGTATTGTAATCGGAATGGAATGTGAATTATGGAATGTTGGGAGGCGAATTTGCCTCTAACCCCCAATAGTTTCTTCTTCAAGAACGGTCACGGCCGTTGAAAAGGGGCAGAGCGGGTTCTAGTATTCTCTTTGCGTCGCCGACATTCGGGAAGCACTAGAGGGTGTCCCAAAAAAATCCCCCCACCCCCTAGCCGGCCGCAGACCTGTCCGATTTTTACGATTTAGGTATCCATCGCAAGCCGGAAAGGCGAGTCCAGCACGTCTTGCCGATTTTCGAAATGCCGAAATTTTTTGCTCGTTTTTCGGCATTTTTCATGCCAAAAGGACGGGCTCATTTGTCCAAAACGCAATTTAACGGGTTTAAGCGCTGTCCTAGCTGTGTTTTGGCAAACGGCTTTCAAAAAGCTATCGTTGGGTTGCCAGGAAAGGCGTAAAAATTCTTAAATTGCGATTTTTATAAAAAAACCTTTGGTCAGAAAATCCGCCCGGGTTGCAAAAAGATTAGTAAATTATAGACAAATTATGAAAATCGAGCACGTGCTGGACTCGCCTTTCCGAGAGCTTTCGATAGATACCTGAATCGTAAAAATTGGACATGTCTGCGGCCGGCTGGGGGGTTGGGACGCCCTGATTTTTACAACAATGGTAGATTTTAAAAGCACACTATTATCTAGCGAAAGGCAAATATAAAATATAAACAGACCTGCAACGTAGAACCTGATTTTGGCTCCGGTATTCGACCGAAGCGGGTCAAACTTCAGTTTACTGAAGACCAGGGTGAAGCCCCAGTTCTAGAAGAAAACACATTGTTTTCCAAAGGACGTGATAAAAAAAGTTGTCCCTGTGTGACGGCACCCAACACCAGGCCTGGACAAAACGCGAGCCGGCCCAGGCCGAGAAAAATCGGGATTTTCCGGGCCGGGCCGGCCCGCGTCTTGTCCAGGCCTGGTGTTGGGTGCCGTCTGCGGCCCCAGATTTTCAGCTGTTCGACCTGTTAATGCGTGGAGTATCTCAAAATGTTCGCCGTGCTCAAATTACTATAAAAAGGTTGTTTCCCTACGTAAAAAACTGCTAGAACATTGGTTACACGGTTTGAAAAGTCAAAAAGGTTAAACCGCCAGGCATTAATGTACCAGGGGACTCAAACTCAAATATGTTGATCTAATTTTAATTTTATTTTTATTGAATTTTTAACTTCAATAGTTTTTTGTGATTCATTATACCGCAGTCTTATTCTACAGATCAAGGGCTACAGTTTGGTGCCCCTGCCAGCTAGCTATGTTCAAGAATGGCCGCGATACGAATAGTGACTTTGGACCAGCAAAAATTAACCAAAGCAAACCATACTGATAATTGCTGTAAACCATTTTTAAATCTTGGCCGAAGTGATTCGACCATGGCGAACATTTAGTGATACTCCACTTATTAATAGGACGTATGGCTGAAAATTTGGGGCTGAGGGGGGGCGGTGGGGGCAACCTCGACTTTAGCCCCTAGGAGAAAATTTGCTTATACGGTCACCTACTCAAAATCTAACTTTTAATATGTCAAAATGCTCAGCAGGACGTGCTGGTGCAAGATCCGTTGAGAAAACTTGGCGGCAAAAGCTCTATCTCGAGTTACATGACTTCGAAGTTGGCAAGTGTCGTATCCGGTCACCTACTCAAAACACAACTTTTGATATGTCAAAATGTCCAGCAGGACGAGCTGGTGCGAAATCTGTCGAGAAAACTTGGCGGCAAAAGCTCTATCTCGAGTTATTACCAAAGAAAAGCGACAAAATGGCGAAATATTGGGTGCGGCAGCAGTACGAAACGCAACAAAAGACGGTACGAACTCCAGCGGAAAGTTCGGAAACCTACGTAATTGATCAAACGTTTTTAAACCCACATTTACTTTTTTCACACATTCTTTTTGCTTTCTGGGCATGGTCAGGCAAGGTGGGCCGTCGCTTCGGATGGGCTGCCGCTCCACTCTTTCGAAATGGGGGCGCCCCCGGCCGCTTCGCCGGCCTTGGCGCCCCGATTTCGAAACCCTGTACGAGCTCGCGCCCATCCGAAGCGACTAGGCCCCGGGTGGCACGAAGCCTTTTTTTTAGGCTCAAACTGGGTGTGTTGAGTAAAGCTAAGCTTGTATCGAACCGTTTTTTATCTTATCGATCAGCGAAAACCGATTTTTCGAAGTCAGAATATTGAACTACGAAGTCATGTATCTCGAGATAGAGCTTTCGCCGCCAAGTTTTCTCAACGGATCTCGCACCAGCTCGTCCTACTGAACATTTTGACATATCAAAAGTTGTGTTTTGAGTAGGTGACCGGATACGACACTTGCCAACTTCGAAGTCATGTAACTCGAGATAGAGCTTTTGCCGCCAAGATTTCTCAACGGATCTCGCACCAGCTTGTCCTGCTGAGCATTTTGACATATTAAAAGTTATGTTTTACGTAGGTGACCATATAAGCAAATTTAGCCGCCCCTAGTTGCATGGATTAACGGTTTGGAGAAACCGGATGCGCTGGACACATCGAGCTGCGCCTACCACCGCCCACTTAAACGACAGAAAACGTACACGGGTCTCCTGCGCTCGACGGAACTCGGTATCGGGGCTGATCCAGCGCGCGAGCGACTAAAGATAATGTAGTAGGAAGGACTCTGTGAACCAAGTTTGACGTTTTGGTATACCTAACTGCACAACACAAGGTATCCCAATAAAAAACATGGTTCTTTAGGATTTCCGGGGGGGGGGGGGAGGGGGAATTTTTTTTCTGCCTGTCCCGGTTGACCTAGTAATTGGTAAGAGTTTACTTTACCCCCCCACAGCCGAAGGGTCTCAAAGTTGTCGGTATTTTCGCTTATTTTGTCGGGATTTTCGCAACGCCATTCGATAGAGCGTCGAAAAATATACTAAGAGTTTTAATTTGAGCCTACAATAATGTAAAATAAAAAAGTTATAGCCAAAACCTTTCGGCTGGGGGGGGGGGGTAAAGTAAACCGTAGCCATATATTTTTTTGACGCGTTATCGAATGACCGTAAATAAATTTTGTAAAAATGTCGCAATTGTCGAAAATTGGATTTTCTTGCATGTCCTCTATGGAAACAACGTTTAATACTTGTTTTTGTTATAACTATTTTATATTACATTATTTTGAGCTATTTTGAGTAAATCAGAACTGGTTTTATTGAAGTCCAAAACCCTCTGGTCCAATTTCGGGATTAATCGGATCGACGACGGCCAATGCGAGACACATGTACCCTACCTGGGTCGGCTCAGGCATCAGCAGCAAAGTGGCGATGACGAGCAGATTGCGGCCGATCATATCCGCCCTGAGAAGCACAGGCGAGATGGTAGCTCAATACAGAAGGTATCTGGACGAGTGTGGGGATTCTCTAAGCCGGAAAGCGAATCTATGCTAACAACGTATTCTAACTAGGGAACTAGGGAAGTCCAAAATACCCGCAACACGGATCGAGCTGAAAATTTGCACAGTTATAGAACCGACCATGCTGATCATTGCCTCGTTTTCCGAATTTGCTACCAAGCTAAAAAAATTTAGATATTAGACGTTTAAGTTGCGGCAAAAACCCGCTACCCTGACCCTGGCTCACAATATGGATCACTTCCTAGAGCAGAAATGATAAATAAAAACTTCTTCACGGCCTTCAGAACGCAAAAAGAAGGCTTCGGACGAAAAAGCAAAAAATAAAAATCGTGAGCGGGTCCGAACCCTCGATATATTTTTCAGACGCCGGCTACCACCCCACTAGGCCACCAGACGACGGTGGAGGGGGCGTCTGGAGGGCTTATGAAGGTCGGGTAAAAACTTTAAAGGGCTGTGACTTTGTTGTATAACAGTATCCGCAGCTAAAAGTTATATCAATCGATTCGTGTCGTCGAGCTCTACAAGATGAGCTAACTTTTAACCCGAAATTCGAGGCCGAGCGGAGACCATTCCCTAGTGAGGAGACCGACCATAGCGAAATTTGTCTGTCTTGGACAAGGGTCGAAACAGGCTCTACTGCAGTAGCGTGCAAAAAGAAGGCAACACCCAGGAAGCTGTTGTAACGCGCCTTGCTCGTTATAGTTTGAACCAAACGGAATGTTTTCTACTATTTTCGATGCTGTAAAATCCGATGCGTACGGTCCGAAGTCGCAGGCGTTTTTCCGTTTCAAAAATATCACCATCGCGTTCAGCATAAGGTAGTAGTTATCAGTTAGAAGATAAGTTCTTTGCCTTCTTTTTGCACGCTACTGCATTAGACTTTTCTCACTTTAGCTCTGTCTTGAGCAACTTTCCTTTTCTAATTTACTTTAGTTAGTTAACTGTTAACTTAATAAGTGTCATTTTATTTATAATCACTATACGATTTTTGGAGGACAAGTTTCTGCAAGCGAGAGTGGAAATAGGAACAGAAATTTATTCCAGACGAATCCTCAATCCTGATCATTTCAAACCTTTTAATTAATTCTTGACAATTCGGCCTTCCACTCAGTTACAGTATACGGATTGTGAAACAGTCGCCAAAATCGCCAAAGTCGCAGTCGCCAAATGAAAGGAAAAGCTTTTGCGCTGCTGAAGTAACTAACCGCAGAGTTTGCAACAAACATACTTTTCTCGCTTCTAGGCACTGAAGAACTATGAACTATGAATATGACCGGGCAGAGACGCAGAGCTCGGTCTGTCTGTCTATCTGTCTGCCTTGTGTCTGTCTTCTGTCTGTGACGCCTCCGAACCCAACGCATCCACGAATCGGCTTCCACCAAGAAGAAGAACCTTTGGATAATTCACCGCCTTTGAATCACCCACGGAATAATTGTTTCATATCTATCCATACCTTACTTTGTCTTTCCTATTCTTGTCAACCATAATAGAGAGAAAAACTTTATTTTGCAATAGAAATACATACATAAATGACAATGGTTCAGGAAAATCGATATATCTGTTTCAAAAGTGCGTTATTACCTATTTTCCAAAAAAACCATTCGTCACTTGGAGCCAGTAGTCATCTAAATTCATGATATATGCGAGAATTTCGTTGTTTTTAGAGGGAATAGGATATCGATAAACATTCATAAGACGTTAACTTCTAAGGTTTAACGTCGTTCTTTTAATGGGAGGTTATTTCTTTTAATCGTTACTGACTAACAAATCATTGCTATTTTCCGAGCCTGAATCCAATTTCACCCTTGCACCAATTGTAGTTTTCGTCGATCGTATTCAAATAAACAATCACTTACCTGATGCATTAATATCGGAGAAGAAGAAGATGAAAAATAAAAGATGATAGAATAGCAGAAAATAGAAGGAAATAGAAGGGAATAGAAGGGAATAGAATAGATAGAAAAGCGTGAGGCCAGCAGCTTGTATCGAAAATGTTGGGGGCGTGGCGAAGAAGCAAATGGCCACGCCTACAAAGTTTTCTGATTGGTTACACAACAAAGGAGCAACACTGTAAGAATTCAAGGATTATCCATTAACCAGGGTTGAACACCGCTTCGCGGCTTTTCAACCCAAGCCCCCGTCTAGGACCTGTGAAAGTCTTCGATTTCGGATGAAATTCAGGCGCAATGTCCCTTTAACAAGTCTATCCGAAAACTTTCAAAGGAAAATGTTTCGTGATTTTAGCTGATCAAATCATAAGCCATCCATTGTTAATCGATGGGGCAATTTGACGGTAACTGTGCATTGGAAAATATTTTTTCGAAGCTCTTAGTTACCGGACAAAGCAACGAAATGATTAGAACGATGGTTTAGTCATGCATCTTAGTTTTAGCATGGAAATATATACCAAGACTTTTGTTTGCAGCAAAAAAAAAGAAATAAAACAGAATCGGCCGCAAAAGGCTGTTCCCCCAAATATACCAAATTTTCGATGCACAACTACGGTAAAATTGCCCAATCGATTACCACCGAATAACTGTGAAGTCGGCAGCTAAATTCACGAAACATTCCCTTTTCAACGTCTTCGTTCTCATTTTTGTCGCGATCCTGGACCATTTTTTTTCTCGGAAAAATATACGATTTTTGAAGGACATTTTCCTGCAAGCGAGAGTCAAGTAGAAGCAGAAATTTATTCCGGACGAATCCTCACTCCAGACCATTTCGATCCTTTTAATTAATTCTCGACAATTCGGCCTTCCACTCAGTTACAGTATACGGATTGTGAAACAGTCGCCAGGGTGTCGAAACGAATGACCAAAAATATTTCCGGGGATAGAATGACAGATATTTTGAGAAATAAGGATATTCGCTTCCGGCCGTAAGCAACCTCAACTACAAGTCAATCAGGTATTCAGGAGACCTCTGAAGCAACAAAATTTATCCAGTTTGTTAATTAGTTATTTTATAGTCATTTTTCAAAGGGGCTCCGAAATTTGGTCCACGGCCCCGAGCGTTGATTCCTGGCAAATAGCCAGTTGCGACCGCGCCGCATGATCTTTTGCCCCTGTTTGGACGTGAAAACGCTTCAATTTGAAAATTCTGGCGCATTTTTGGAATCCTTACCAGGTTTTGATCATTCTAGTCTTTTTAATAATGAAAATTGATCAGAGAATCACCAAAATCGAGAGATTGGGTGTCTTACAGGGCATTACGACGTAATCGCCGCGCACTCAAAAGTCGTTTTCGCCCCCTGAACACTTCCGTTTTACTCAAATATTTTACGTATTTTTCGCAGCAAATACATTTTGCGATGCTTCGCGGCGGTAACGCGTTCGTTTGAACTCTGAGCCCGCCATATTCATAGTTCATAGTCAATCAGTGCCTAGAAGCGAGAAAAGTATGTTTGTTTCAAACGCTGCAGTTAGTTACTTCAGCAGCGCAAAAGCTTCGTCCTTTCATTTCAACACCTTTGGCCGCTGTTTCACTTTTGGCAGTCGCCTGATCGAGAAACTGCTGATCGAAAAATCGCCTGATCGAAAAATCGTCTAACCGAAAATAACTCAAAAAAGATAGAGTTTTTCTAGGCTTCTAACATGTGTTAAAACTACTTTTTGAGTTATTATCGATTAGACAATTTTCGATTAGACGATTTTCGATCAGACGATTTTTCGATCAGGTGACTGGAATCCTGTTTCACAATCCGTATACTGTAACTGAGTGGAAGGCCGAATTGTCGAGAATTAATTAAAAGGCTCGGAATGGTCTGGTGTGAGGATTCGTCTGGAATAAATTTCGGCTCCTGCTTTCACTCTCGCTTGCAGAAACATGTCCTTTGAAAAATCGTATAGTTTTCCCAGAGAAAATTAGGTAAATGAGGTATTCAACAATGAAAATGAGCACGTTGAAAAGAACATGTTGCGTGAATTTAGCTGTTCACATCATAAACCATTCACTGTTAATCGATCGGGCAATTTTACGGTAATTGTGTATTGGAAAATCTTTTTGAGATAGTCGTCCAAGTCCAAGGCATCGATCGGAATATGATTAATACCAGCGTGCGAAACCCGCCTCGCGGGCCTTGGGCGCTGGAATTGTGCGTTTCCAGGAAAATTTTGACTTTCCGATAGCTCGGGTCGTTCGGACCTCCCCCACAAACCACACCCGCGCGTGCCAATTGCAAGAATGAGGAAATTTGTATTTTTCACATTATGCAAATTAGCCTTCCGGAATCCTAAAAATGAATAAAACCGGCTCTGACTTTGTAAAATTGTATTTTTAAAAAATTCTGAGAACGCCATCGGAAAGAGGAGGGTCGTTTCCCCGGCCTGGCGGCGAATTGGCGCATTTTGAGCACGGGAAGGCCCTAAAATCTGGCCTCGAAAGTGACATCCACACACGCAGACACACACAGATACACCCCTAAAGTATATAAGTTAGGATAGGATATGAGTGTTGTTCTTCGAGATCTAGTACACCTCCATTCAAAGTTTGGGGCCTATCGGATGTAAAGACCAATGGGGTGCGTTTTCTCTCGTCATTTTCCAGAAAAATGCTGTAAAATATTTATCGCAGTAACAATGTTTGGCTGTACATTCGCGCTAGCAGCAGCAGCAGCAACAGCAGCACACCTTGCGGATGAATTTCCAACTAAACTTACAGCAAAACTTGGTCAGCCTCCATCGCAATTTGGCTGCACGACGACCATAAGTCTCGACTTCATCCCATATGGCTTCTGCCACATCAACCGCACGATTTCCCGTTGTAATCGGTGTGTAGACGGCCGCTTTTGGCGCTTTTCGGTTTCTCTTCCTGATTTTCGTGGCGGCCCTCCGGCACACCCGTTTCAGGTTTCGCCAGATTCGACCTGCAATTTGGTCGTGTTTGACAATCATTTCGTTAAAGGGCTCCGAACTGCCAAATCAAAGCCCTTTTGGGAGGCCTCTTTGATTTCTGGCAAATTGCCAGCGGGCGCTGCGGGACGAGAGCCCTCACTCTTTCGATTTTTGCGCGAAGTTGTTTCTGCCCGGTTTCTTCGTGAAAACACTATAATTCGCGCATTCTGAGCCCATTTTTGAAATCCTCACTCAATTTTAAATAGTTTTGGTGTTTTAATCATCAAATTTGGCCCAGAAACAGCCGAGAGCGCGATTTCCAGTTGACAACAGGCTATTTCAAATTTGCGAGCTTCCCGCGCCCCTGGGGAGTCGGGTAAATCGACTATGCTGAACACGATGGTGATGTTTTTGAAACGGAAAAATGCCTTTAGAAAAAATTGATTGTTTTAAGCTATTTTAAATTCGATATTTAAGCTACTAAACGTCATTTTCGCGGCTTGGGACCCTGCGGATCATATTCTACAGCATCGAAAAAACTAGAAACCATTCCGTTTGGCGCAAAATATAACGAGGCAGCCGGGTTACAAGACCTTATTTTGCACGCTACTGTAGAGTGGGTTCTTTAGTTTTTTAGTTAAGATTTGGTTGTGGATTCGTAGGTAGAATACAAACAGGTCAAATTGAATAAACTATAAAAGTGCCAGCCTAGCTTTTCTAGGTTATGGCAAAGGCCCCGCCTCGATTTTGAGTTAAACAGACTCACCGATACGTAGGGAACCGAGCGGGACACGAATTTTCCCCATGATCGTGTGGGCTTGTTGCGACAGTGAAGTCCTAAAGCAATTGCCCATTGAAGGGATTCACTCAGCTTCGATCCGGAGTCAGCGATTAATGGATAAAACAATTGTTAGGGAGCATGAGACCGAGCCCCGGAGGAAGCAGGACACACAAAAATTTCTTTCTAGAGAAAGCGCATTTAGAAATCTACCTTGAAACCTCGGCTTCTCTTTCCGTGGCGTTTTCACAATTTCGATAAAACATAATTTTGCCAAGCTAAGGCCGGTTTTATTCATTTAAGGGGCCGCTAAAGGTCATTTCTGCCAGTTAGATCCTATTTTCGAATAAAAAGCATTTAATTTTTGCATGAGAAATGTGGAAATTTGGGTAAAAAAACTAAAATTTCTAAAATCGAGAGACGGGCTGGATACCCAAAACGTAACGATCGGACACGTCTGCGGATTATTTGGGACGGCTTGTAAGCTTTCTCATCATGTCCTTGGAAAAAGCATTAATTTAGCCTCTTCAGTCTTAAAAAGTATAAATCGACCAATAGTTGATGCAAGATCGAAATTGAAAGGCAAAATGAATGTGATGAAAGCAATCCGTGCAGTGAAAGCGGTTGCACGGAAGGGGCGGGATCGGCCATCGGCCTGAATGAAAATGACATGCCCAACCGGAAAACCAAGCTATGGCAAGGTAAGGTACAGATGGGACGACGGCGGGGGGGGGGGGGAGGGCAATCAAGGATTCTTATAATAAAAATAGTTGTAAATATAGTTTTTGGCACTAGAAGATTCTTAATATATTTTTGACCCTCTATCGAATGGCGTTTTCAAAATATCATACATAAATCCCCCGTTATCCTATGTGCAGGCCATGGATGTTACCCTATTTTTGGTAATTCGATAAAAATTCCCCTATACATTATTCGGGTTGAATTTAATTAGCTTTGTATATTTTTGACGTCCATCCATCGAATGGAACTCGCAAAATGTCACAGAAATGTAAAATATTAGAAGAAATCAATGCCGACCCCGGTATTTTACCCCCCCAACCCCCCTTTTACCAAGGGTAATATCATCCCAGAGTGACTCTAACGAGCTCCAAGGCTTCGCGCAATTGGCCCCGCTGAGAGAGATCAATAGAATGGTAAAGACGCAGACGTCAAAAGGGTACTTTTTGCAAATCACAAAAACCATGATGCCGAAATATCACAATCGTTAAATTTTAACGTTTCGGGTTTGTGGATTTCGGGGTTAGGCGCTGACATTCGTAAAAAGGGGCGAGCAACCGCAAAATCACCGCGCGCCGCTTGCTTCGATCGGCAAAATCCACGGGGAATCCATAGCGCGGCACTCTAGAGGCATGCCCATACCATCCATCCCATCCTTTAAAAGTTCTCCATCATTTGTCACAACATCATCTACTACTCTTCGAACTCATTTTTGGACGTGAAGACGCGAAAATTTAGAAAAGTCATTACCGGAATATTCAGGCAATTTGAATCATTCTAGCTGGTTTATTTATGAAAAAGTTTAAAGCGCACGTTCAGGGAGGGGCCGTGTACTCGTCCCAACGTGTACACCCTATGGACGTAGAGACCGCGCGCACGACCTACCCGTGCTGTGACAGGCCATTCCCCTCCTTTGCGGCGTGGGGTCCTCCTCACCCCCTCGCCAGGTTGTAGCTGTGGCTGACTGGTATACATCCGCGCCTCCAGAGCGGGGGGCCCGGGTTCGACCCCCGGCCGCGGCAAAAATCTTTGCTTTTTCCAACAAAACGTCCCTGAACGTGCCCTTTAAGCATCAGGCTCGATAGATGAGATGCCATCCAGGAAACCGCCTTCCCGCGATAGACTGACCGATTTTGCGCCAAATTCAGTTTGCTGCAAAAGTTTCGGGTTTTGTTGCAACGAAATTTGTTTGCCAATGTTTCAGCCCCACCCCGTCTGATTTTTAAGAGATTTTTCATGAAAATAAACGACAGGTTGGAGCGAGAACACCCGGAATTGTGAACTAAATCCATGGCAGGCAGTTGCTTTCGACCCGGAAAGAATATTTTATTCAGTCGCGTTAACAAGGTGAAATGATTGTAGATTATGACATTGTGTTGTCATATATGTCTTGCGGTTGCCTTTTTCATTCTTTGATTGTGCTTTTCCTCGCAGTTCCTCGTGGCCTAAATTTCTTTTTTAACTCTTCCAAACACCTCCAATAAACGTGGAGCGCTGAGAAGGTCAATTACACGGAGCACCAACAATGTTTGAGACAGTCTTTCAGCCAGAGCATGGTCGCGGTAATTTAGGAGTCTTTTAAATGACGCTTTCCCGGTTAAAAATGACGCTGAAACTGACGACACCAAAACTAGCAAAAATATGACTGATATATTAAAAAGATATAGAAAAAGGGGGAGGGGGAGTATTCCGTGGGGGGAAGGGTGGAAACCAAATTTTTTTCCGGCACAATCCTAAGTTTCTTTATAATTAACGGACGCGTTTTTAAATTGTTTTTAACGATTCCTAAGCATAGAAACTACCCAAATTTTAATGAAAAAATTTAATTTTAGGTCGAACAGTCCTATAGAACCTTTAGGATTAGCGGGAGGGGGAAGACCCAAAATGACCAAATTTTCTACTTTTCCAAACATTTTAGCAACTTTTTTTGTAAGTTTTTCTACTTTAGATATAATTAAAACTTACTAAAAACAATTTGAAAACACTTTATATTTGATTACTAGGTCAACCTGGATCGCCAGGAAAAAATAGCCCCCCCGGGATTACCCCTCGCGAATTTGAAAGAACCCCTATCCCAAAGCTTTTTCTGTCCATCCAAAGTTGCTGATTTGTGGCTTTTTCCACCTTAAGTCGTTTATATTTTTCTAAGGAATGGGTACCCCGCAAAAAAGGTAATGGGAATCATCGGAAAGTTCTTCAAAAACTAGGCTTGGTCCGATCCCAAAGTCGGGACGACACTCAAAAACGTTTCCTTGAGATTTCAGTGCAAAATCACCTAACAATAATAGGCCTTGATAGTCTTGGATAAAGCGGTAAATTGCAAAGCCCACTTTTTCGCCTTTTTAGCAGCCATTCGGGGTGGAAGTGTTTGGGCGGCGGAGCCCGATCGACCGGCGCGGGGAGTACTCTTCATAGCACCGACCCAGGGGAATACCTTTTGCCTCAACTTTTTGTTGTCTTTACAAAAATAAGCACATACTCGTGTGTCACGTGGCTTACGTCGAAGTGATCGCTGAAAATGGAAAAAAAGCTGGCTTTTTGGAAACGAAAAGCGGCCGGGCTACGATATCAATTGTCTTGGGGCAGGGATATTGTTCCGAAATTGCTTACGGTATCATAAAACTCTCTGGGAATGTTTTTTCTTAAGCTGTTCATAACGCAGTCACAAAAAGCGCCACCCCCCTTACAAGGAAACCTTTTAAAGTCAAGGTGGGATTTCGATTTGGCACCTAGCCTATCTTGTTCAGAATGTTTTGCTGATTTTTCACTGCTTTCAAAACTTGCTCTGTTCTCAAAAACTGCGAAATAGCTCGGAATCAAAAGTTATGAAGCATTAAAGTGCCGTTTTTGGCCCCCGGGAAGTGTTTGGCCATGATGCTGCCCTTTTTTGTTTGACTCTTTTAATTTACCACAAATAGTCTATCTGATTCGAATGGGCATATTTCATTAAAACATGGCTGCTTCTTAGCCGCAGTTTACCAGTGCGCGAAATCCCCAGTTGTTCGCGAAGTCCCATACAAAATTTGCACGCCATCGTCGATTTTTTCGATTTTCGACAATTTTGGGTTAATCATTCGATAGAGAAAAAAATTCGGAATAAATGGCAATATTCTTTTTTAAAAAATCATACAGAAACATCAAAATAATCGAACATGAAGTTTGCCAATTTCTGCTCAAATGGACTTCAAAACGTTATAACTTTTGAATCGGAGCCATTTCGCAGTTTTTGAAAACAGATTAGGGATCAGCAAAACATTCTGCAAGAGATGTGCTAGGTCCCATTTTGAAATCCCGAGGAGACTTTGAGAGGTTCCCTTGTTAGAGCGGGCCAGAGCTGAATGCTATTTTGTTCCCTATTCTTATTGTTAGCTATCTTTCCAGCCGCCGAAAAGGCCAGAAAATGACCGGAAATTTTACTTTTCTGGGTCTCGGACTTTAAAGGGTTGATTCAACTTTTAGAGCTTGGGCTGGTAACTTGAGAAACTATGGACGTGGCGATACCGCGCATGAACAGTCCCTCATTACGATAGCTATGAGATAGCGGGGAAAAGAGAGAGGCGCAGACACAAAAACGCAGAGAGGGTTCGACTCCTGGCTGCGGAAATTCTTTTGTTTTATTGGCTGAACTGGCCCTTTAATTATGTTTCCTATTAGGGTTGAAAAACGGCTTTGTTAAATGCTGATACCCCTTTATTTGCGACCTGTACTTCCGCCGGCCGCGCGGAAAGGGGAAGGGCGGGTGACCGAGATTTTCACTGGAAAGTAAATTCATTAACAAAAATAGCTGAATCTGCGAAACAGCACCTGCGAAAATTCAGGCAAATATCCACCTACATCTTTGCGGTATGATAGCGTGAAAACCGCCGTTTTATGCGACATTTTCTAGTATTTCAATTCAAGCCTAGAGGTTTTTAAAAAGATGTTTCGTATCGCGCGGGCATAGAAAATGTGGGAACACGAAATTCATTGGGTCTTTTCGCCTGTCGATGGGCTTTCGAATGGAGTAAAAAACGTCTTGCTGGAGGGTAATGGAACGTCTAGAGTTGGACACCCCCCCGGTCCTCGGAGGAGTTTTTTGGGGGTGTTTTTAGCCCCGCCTGGGCTTTCCAACTCTAGTTAGGTGATTAGGTGTGTAATGTTCTCGAACCAAGTGTGCACATATCAGCTTATCCAAACGTGCAATTTCTGATATTAAGATTGCTTTTTGTGAAAATCTCGGTCTTCCGCTTTGTTAGGTAACAATTAGCATACGCCGGAAGTCATTAGGGGCTCTATAAAGGGGCAGAAGGGGATTTTTTTCATTTTTGGGAACGGGATTCTGGAAGAAATATTCAAATTGGAGACTGGCATCTGTGCGAGGCGTGGCCAGGGGTGAAAAGCCGTTACTCGGTCACCACTGGGCTTCTTTTAAATTCGTTCGTTTGCAGATCGCTTGAATCTGTTTGAACAGCAAAAATAATGGATTCTCAATAGACATAGGCAAATAATGGTTTAGTCATCTATTCACTTACGTTCCAATTTCCGCAGTTGGAACACAGCCCGTGCTGGAGATAGTCGCTCTAAATTTGTTTGCATTTTTTCGAGAAAAAACGTTTTTAGATAGACTTTTGAGCGAGTCTCAACTACCATTTCAGCAAAAAAAGTTGTTTTTCGGAAATGGCTACAGAAACTTTTGGGGAGCCGATAGTTTCTTTTCGATACTAGACAGAGAACGAGAAACCATGTTTCGGGGCTATGAAAAGTCGAAAATCACGTTTTCCACACAACCCAGAAACGGTGATTTTCCAATGATAAATCTATTCTTTTTCGGGCTAAACGTAATTCTCTGGGTATTTTTTCTTATGATTCCCGGCCGAGCGAGCAATTGTCAATTGACACGGCAAATTATTATGTTCAAAATATTGGGTTGGAACGTAAATTCGAACTTTATACGATTAGAAAGAGCTTTTTTTCGCTCTACAAGGCGGTGGCCGTTTTGCCATGTCGGGTAAAACGTCTCAAATGTAGCATTGCGTCGGCCTATTTTCGCCTTTTCTAATATTTTCTATCTGCATTAAATCGCAGAAACAATTTTAGAATTTTACGAAACTTACGGCGAACTGTTGGTGTGGTCAAAATGTTGGATGGGAAGAGATGGTGCAGTTCTGAAATGATTATTGCCTAGAATAATAGAATAAACAATAACAATAGAATTCTGCAATTTTGCTCGCACTGTATTCAAAACCTTACAGGGTGTGATAGTATCCGAATTGCGCTTCTTGTGGCGGATTTGGCGGGATGATCGGTACCGGCGGAGGCGGAGGATAGGTGGAGGCAGTCAGGCTAGGACTAGCATACTTTTTTGAGGAAATAATGGATCCCCGGATGCTAGCAGAGATTGTTTGAGGAAATGGACGGACCCCGAGAGGAGGGCAGGCTAGCAGAGATTGGAGGAGGAAATGGACGGACCCCGAGAGGAGGGCAGGCTAGCAGAGATTGGAGGAGGAAATGGACGGACCCCGAGAGGAGGGCAGGCTAGCAGAGATTGGAGGAGGAAATGGACGGACCCCGAGAGGAGGGCAGGCTAGCAGAGATTGTTTGAGGAATTGGACGGACCCCGAGAGGAGGGCAGGCTAGCAGAGATTGTTTGAGGAAATGGACGGACCCCGAGAGGAGGGCAGGCTAGCAGAGATTGTTTGAGGAAATGGACGGACCCCGAGAGGAGGGCAGGCTAGCAGAAATTGTTTGAGGAAATGGACGGACCCCGAGAGGAGGGCAGGCTAGCAGAGATTGTTTGAGGAAATATCGTTAAACCTACGGAGCCTCGATGTTGATACGGATTTCTTGGCCGCCATCTTGGGTGTTCGATACTATCGTAATGGTGATCGATCCGGCCGGCATTTTAGCTATTGCAAAAGTAATTGTCGACTGACTGCTACCGTGGTTGTGGCGAGTAAGGAGAAAGCCACGCCCTTTAAGATATTCTGGACCTATCCGGTGGGTTTCGGGGTTTCCTTTGGATCTTCTAGCGACTCATAAATTCAGGCGTGGCCCCAATCGTTTGCCCTGGCCCCTTGTCCAGTCCGCAACTTGCTGTTTCGAGAATCCCAAGCGGAGATTTTTGAGGGGAAATTGTATGCCATTTTGCATTGTTTTTCGCTCGCAAGCAGCTCTTTATGTTGCCTATACCACCTTACTTTGTACTCGATACAAAGAAATAAACTCAGGTTCGGCCCCGGCCGGGTGTCAGTTTTTGCTCCTTGGTTTTTTACGGCACGCGGGTGGACTTTGGTATTCAATTTCAATTTATCTAATATTAGCGTAGATATTTCAAAGCTATTTTGACCAATCGAAGCGCAGAAAGATTACATTTTTGTGGAAAAATCGGAAAATTATCGATTTTGCAGGCGTAAAAGTCCCCATAACGTTAAAATTCCAATTTTTTGCGAAAATAATTCTTTCACGAACACCGTTTTACATCAACCTTCATTGCGATTGCGTTTTATCCGCTAAAAGCCACGCTGCCAGCAGATTTTTGGTGGTCTATGCGTTTTACCTAAAAAGGCCGGGCCGACCGGGCCGCATCCTAAAAACTCGCCTCGGACCCGAAAAACCCACGTGTCCGTGAAGCTGTTTTTAAGAAAGCCAAAATATAACGTCAACCGCCTTTACCCCCTCTGGTTTGACGGCTCTGGGTCCGGGGCTTCCACGACCCCAATTTTTTTTGGGGGGGGGCGGGGGAGCAACTGCAATAATCACCACGCCCCCCCGTCGCCGCTTTCACAAAATCATTCGAAAATCACTGTTCTAACAGCGCCGCAGGCAAAAAAAAATTGCAAAAAGCGTTTTGCGCTGAAATTCAGGTCAAAAAAAATTTTTGGAAAAATAGGCTTCATAGAAGTATAAACCGTCCTAAAACAGTAATAAACAGCGCCGCCGCACAAATTTTTTTATAAAAAAACCGGCGCCCAAAACCCGCTTCGCGGGCCTTGGGCGCTGGAATTCGGCCTTTGCATAAGAAATTTGACTTTCCGATAGCTCGGGTCCTTCGGACCCCTCCCCCCGGCCGACCACAGGCGCGAGTGCAACTGGCAAGAATGAGGAAATTTGTATTTTCTCGCATTATGCAAATTAGCCCTCAGGGACCCCAAAAATGAATAAAACCGGCTTTAACTTTGTAAACTTGTATTTTATCGAAATTCTGAGAACGCCATCGAAAAGAGGAGGGTCGATTCCCCCGAGTCACGGAGAATTAGGACATTTTGGGCACGGGAAGGCCCTCAAATCGGGCCTCGAAACTGACCTCCGCACACACACACAGACAAAGATACGCGACCAAATTATATAAGGTAGGATAATCAGGGTCCCCCCTTATGAACTTTTCGATCTTCGGCCGATTTTGGGGGGGCAACTTGCCGCTCCTGCCCCCCGTACGCCCCTGGGTGTGTATATTAAACCTTTAGCAATGAGGCCTTTCCGCGGTGAAGATGAGGATCCTGATATGGAGGTCGACCTCCACGAGGGTGAGTGAATTTGGCTGTCTCAAGTTTTGTGTAGGGTACGAACCTTGGGGTTCTGGACAGGCAAACCCATTGAGACGTTCACTTTACGTTCAGCCTCTGTTTTTAGAAGGTTATCCCCAGGAAGACGAGCGCTTATCCATCTACAGCCCGGACTCCTTTTCGCCGGTCACCTTTTCAGGTACGACGTGTGAATGATAATCTGAAAATTTGTGCAGCTGCTTCCCCCGACTCACCCGCCTTCGAGGAGTCAGGCGCATTGATCGTGGAAGAAGACGAAGCAACCCAGCTTTCACCGACTCGTGAACCCGGATGCTTGTCATCTACAGCCAATTCTGGTGAATTCTCTTACGGGGAAGTGCAACTAGAGGTCCCAGAAAATAGCTTAGCAAAACTACTGGTCTGATGGAGTCGACGACGGGGATTTCGAATCTCTGGTCAGAATTTGCAGAACGATGAATATAAAAGTTTCTAAAAAAGAACCCCAAGGAGCATGATAATTTCGTGTATACCAATGTATACCGTATCTCGCTCTCCAGGCCTCGGTAGAAAATTAAATTCTGCTGACGCCATTGTGTTGCCCGCAATCGACAACCTGGGGGTAGCCTCGAGCGTTTTGCGAATTTCCAGTTCGTGCACTTGCCCTTCCCTTTAGTCACTATACCACCCGATAGGTGGTCCAGCTGTTTTGAAAGGGCCTCATAAGGCAGCGCGAGAAAATCACGGAAAAACTTTCACGTTCGTTTGCAAATTTTAAACGTTTTGCAAATTCTAACAAGAGATTCGGAATCCCCGTCGTCGACTCTTTTAGACCCGCATTTTTGCAACGCGATTTGCTGGAATCCCTTATTTGCACTTCCCTTGTTAGCTGACCGGTCATACCAATGCCCGTATTCGGACGATGACGATGCAGATATGATGTCTGCCCCGGCCTCACCGGACATCGAGGCCGACCGTGGAGTGCCGCCGACGCCCCATCGACCAGGTAGCGGCTCTCCGTCGGGTAGGTGAAAGAAGAGGGTAGACAACGATATTGTACTCGATACCTTCTTACCCGGCTTGTCCTTTTTGAGCCATAGGGAAAACAATTCCGGACCAAATCATGCTGTAGAGTATTGAATACTGAACAAGCTCCCGCTGTTCATTTTTCGACGGATGGTTTTCTCCAATTGTATCAAATCAAAAACAAAAAACGGCATTTTTGTGCGTGGCTGTGCACGCCACTCCCCTAAACCACGCCCCGGAAGTAGAGGGGCTCTGGCGTCTCTCCCATCACCAGTAAGCGCGATCAACATCGGTCAATCAAAAGTTCAAAACCCCCATCAACAATTCATTTTGCTTTTTGAATAAGGTTACCTTTGGCTTTAAATACTATGGCCATTCGGCTATGAATCCATTCAATATTCAAAAAGCAAAGTGAAATGATGTTGCGGGTATTATTGATACTATTGATAGAAAGCAAATAGGTCGTTTTTAGCCATGTCGACGGCGTCGTCGATGCGGAGGCGGCCCCAACGAACGGACCGTTCTCATACTCCGCCACTTCGTGTGCCATCTCCACCCCGCGACATCGCTGGTGTCGAATTAGGTTGTTTGGGGGGCTAGGCTCCAAAACCACGACGTTTAGATTTCGACTTTCTAGCCGTGCATGCGGCCACACTTCGGATTCGACCATGTGGGAAAGGTAGATATTTCGTGGGGGTCAACCGGATTTTACATCATGCTCACAAGGGGTGTTCTTTTTAAGTCATCCACAAAACTGTTCAAGACTTAGCTCATTCGATAGAGAATTGAATTCTGAACAAGACTCCGTTGTCCATTTTTGCGGAATGGCTTGCCGCGATTTTATAAAAGGTTAAAACTGCATCCGAATCCGTCTCTTTTCGCTCGAAAGACATTAGTGGTAATAGACACTGGTTTTTTAATGTTATAAGGAAGACAGGGATAACCAGCCCGCAAAATTGACAGAGGAGTCTGGTTCAGAATTGAATTCTCTATCGAATGAGCTTGTTAGGTACGCGAGTGTTCATTGGCCCAAGTCGAGGATTCGCCGCCGCATGGAGCTGGACGGAGGAGGGCGGCTGGTCGGGGATTGCCTCGGCCCCGCTAGAACAGGTAGCCGACCTGTTCGCTAAAGCTGCAAAATGGACCCTATGGCTCGAGGATACATTTACGCTGATCATGGTTGGACCCCGATCTGGTATATTCAACCAACAACTTTATGGCCCCATGTCGGCAATGCGTCTAGCTCCCCAGGGGTCAGTTCTGGCGTTTGCTTATGTAGGTCCCTTAAAAACATTCAAGTGTTGGATCGAAGACTTGCTTATCCCTCTGACCGACTCTAAATCAATGGCCTATTGCCGTATTAGTAAAAAAGAGCGACTGAAAGGTCGCAAGATGGCGCACGAGATCGCTGACATTATGGGGCTTGAGAATCCCTCGAAGTATATTGTTGACATTCTCAGCTCCGAATACCAAGTTCTTGTGGACTTTGCAGAACCCAAATTATACATCTGTATCTGTGACGATTGTCTGTAACGTGTTGCGTGGACTGATCCCCCCCTCCCCCCCCCCCCCCTCCCCCCCTCCCCCCCCCCCGCCCGAGATCCGACCTAACAGGGGAACCACTGAAGGTAAAGATGGCTTTTCCAATTGGGACTCAGCCCATCTTGTGCCGAATTTTTGCTGATTCCGATGTCATCTGCCTTCAATTTTCGCCAACTCGCCGGATTTGAATGGTGATGGCGATTTTAAGTTCATACCAGCGCTGATCGGTCTCGGTCGGTCCCGGTCGCGGTCGTCGGGCGTACGGACATTAGAAATTTATATATAGTAGATTTGAGCCCACGGGACTCTAGATGTAAACTGTAGTTAGTACTTCGTAAAATCTGAGAATATTCGAAGGCATATGTGGGATTTTATGAACGTACAAGGTTAAGATTCAATTTATTGAAAGGCGTTTTATCTGACATTTCCTGTTGAAATAAGTCTGACCATAGCTACACCTAGCAGCTATTTACACGAAAAGAATCGTACCGATCCGGACATCAAAAATGCCGGAAGAGCGCAACGCACCTTTTTCTGGAACACGCATTTTGGGTGTCTTTTGTATTGGTGCGTCGTGGAAAATCCAAAAAAATCAAGTTGAGTTCAATCGGAGTTCCAGACAATTTTGAGCATTTTGGCATAGTCGATCATGTTTTTAATTAAAGTTATTAGGGCCCAAAGTCCGGTAGAATTTTTGCTGACACTTTATGCAAAAAATTGGAGGGATACCAAGTATCGTAATTGTTTCGATTCTCAACAATTTGCACCTAAGAAGCTCATTCCGTAGAAAAATGTTTCTGAATACGATGGCGATATTCGTTCTTGAGACATCTGCCGGAACAGGCAAAGTAAATCACTTTGTGTTACGAAAATTTGGGAAAAAATGGAACTTTGCGACGCTATATAACTTTAAACCGAGCGGGTTGGAAATAATTGAGAGCCGGTTAGCAATCAGCAAAAAATTCTGCACAAGGTAGGCTGGACTCCATTTAGAAGGCCAAAACACCTTACGTGCTTCCCTTCTAACGTTGTAAGCTCGCAAATCATTGCTGAATTTTTCACGTGTGTCGCATAAACAACTTTTTTGATTGAAGCTTGATTACGCCCATTAAACAAAGCAGTATAGTTTTATTGTTTCGATAAACGAAATCGCCTGGATCGTCGACTGACACAAAAAGTAACTGAATCAACACGCGACACCAGTGATGCTTTCTACATCTGGCTGCTTGCCAAATCCCTTCAACGGCAGTTGGTTTAGAAAAAGAGATGAACCAATCAAGAAAAGCGTTTCATCTCACCTTTCAGATAGGCTTTTTAAAATAAATTAGAACTTCAAAATAAAAAAGGAACGGCATCGTCATTTCTCGGCATTTCTCGAGGACGAAAATCGACACTAAAACCTCAATATCTCGGTCACTCTCAACCGAGGTGGTCCCGTTATGCGGGCTCTCGTCTCCGATACCACTTATCAAAGACCAATCAACAAACATTTCAACGTTTTTGCATGTATTAAAAAACACAATTAAATAAAGTGTTTACCCTGAATAAAATTCAATATTTCAGGTAGCCCTTTTTCTACTGATAGCCTACATTCAGTTCGCGATACCGTTCACACCGCAATGCTAACGTTGTGGATACCTTGCCCGGAGTGGAAGAATAAACCGAATTTGCGTGTGAAATTTCAATTTCCGTTTTCTGCCCAGATTTGAATGTAATTTTTGGTATAAAACCAACGAAAAATGCAGCGAAAAATATCATTCGTTTTCGACCCGTCGCGATCCTACGATGGGCCTAAAACTGCTGCTCTGTGCCATTCTTCTGGCTAGGTATCATTTTTCCTTTTGCAATGCTGGTTTCTATTATTCATATCAATATTTTTTTATACTGGCATTTTATAGCGTCGCTTTCGGCGACAATCGAATTGGGAGAAGTGTGGGAGCGCACGCCTGGGACAAGCTGCTACGCGCGCAGCTCTCGAAACAAGGGCACGACATCAAGGACAGTACAAAGTCGGTATTAGAATCTTTATTAAAATTGAGACTTTATCTAAAATATAGAGCAAGGTGCACTGTTACCCAAATAGGTAAAGGTTGCTTAACGGGGGGGACAATTTTTGTATTTATAAAGACGATCGTGCTATTTTGAAAACGCCAGCGAATAGAACGAAAATTCTTATTAAAAAAGTGAATTTCAGTCCACAAAACCTCATTCGTAACGATTTTTAATTGATTAAACTTTTAGCTTAATGAAGTAATAAGGTAAGACTCCAGATAACCCTCCCCCCAGCCGGCCCCCAACGTTTGTATCTCGGATCCCTGTTCATCTACCGGTGTGTAAAGTATACCAAAATACTTGCCAGAGCAAGATGAACATTTTGATATACTTTGCACACCTGTAGATGAACATGGAGCCGAGATACGGTAGGTGGGGGTCGGTTGGGGGGGGTATCTGGAGTTTAGCCAGTAATAATTTAGATTATGGTATTTCGGGCCGAAATTAATTCGATTAGGATATTTTTCGACGCTCTATCCGATGGCATGCTTGAATTGGCCCGTCCGGTCCGTATAGGGGAAAATGGGGTACTTGGGTATTCCCGGGGGAGAATTCGCGGGGGAACCAACTTTTTCCTGTCGGCCCGGGTGGGCATAGTAATCAAATATAAAGTGTTTTCACATTGTGTTTAGCAAAATTGAAGCCGATTTGAATCGGAAAAACTTTAAAAAGTTAGAAAAACGATTGAAAAAATCGAAAATTTGGTCTTTTTTCACCCGAAAAAATTGATTTTTCTACCTAAAATTCAATTTTTTAATTACATTTTAAAAAGTTTTTATGCTTAGGAATAGCTATAAACAATTTAAAAACACTTCCACCATTTATATAAAAAGTAGGCTTGGGCGAAAGTTCGAGTCCCCCGCGAGTTCTTCCCTGGGGAATACACAAGAACCAAAAATGGTTCCCTCCGTTAAGCAACCTTTATCATCAAATATACAATTCCATTTTCAGAGAATCGCCTTCTTCCCCTCCCTCCACTCTGCCGTTGTGGGACATTCGCCGAGCGCTTGCTGAGAAGCAAATGGCTGTTTGGGGCGATGAACTGTCTCGGGTTCTTCCCGACAACGACAAGTTGCTGCTGGCCAGCATCATCTACCGGTCTGGATATCTTTCGGATTTATTAATTTCAAAGCTATTTTTGTGGATTTTCTAAGCACATTTTGTACACGAAAATTGACGTCAAAAAAGCTGGTGTGTATTTGCGGGGGGTGATTCCTTTTTGGTTAGAGTTTAGGAAAACTTCTTGCCGGTAATTGAAAAGTATTGCGATTTGTAATGGGGCATAACCCATCATTTGCAGGGATAACTCGATTCTGGCAAAAGGACTTCTTTTCAACGTGACGATGAACCTGTTGAAGGCCAATGGATTTCCCAACTTGCACCAACCGCCCGCTCTCAAGTCCACTTCTACGATCGCCGATATGTGAATATTATTTTGCTATCCACATTTCAAATATTATTTAGGAAAAAACGCACGGAGGCTTTGGAATATTTGATGGAAATTGCTGTTACACATTTGCTGTAAGATAGTTTGATCATTCAGAACTTGGAACAAAAGAGAAAACAAACTAAACAAATGATTTCAGCAAGAAAAATCGGTCGGAGGGATCGTCGCCATTGTTCCAGCAAGTGACCTGCATTTGTCTCCAAGATGCCTCGTCAGTTCTTTTTGCCTTTCATTTGACTTTCATTCATTCTCCATTTTTTCCACTTTACAACATTTGACAAAAAATGGCTCGAGTTCGAATGTTTCTACGCAAGTAAAGGGTATAAAAACGTATTCTCCTCTGGCGGCCTAAAACGTGTCTTATTTTTAAAATTTAGTATCTATCGAAAGCTCTAGGAAAGACGAGAAAAACAAACACCTTTTGATTTTGGAATTAGGCAATTTGGTTCACTAATTTTACGACCGAAAATCACAAATCACGAAAACAGCATTGAGAAACAGTACGAGGCCAAACTCCAGATAATCCCCCAGCCGACCCGCACCTAATGTATCTCGGGTCCCTGTTCATCTACAGGTGTGTAAAGTATACCAAAATACTCGCCAAAGCAAGACGAACATTTTGATATACTTTACACACCTGTAGATGAACAGGGAGCCGAGAAAGTTGGGTGCTGGCGGGGAGGGTTGTCTGGAGTCTTACCCAGCACGAAAAACAAAGGCGCTCGTTTTTTTCGTCTTTTCGGAAACTTTGTAGTGATACTTCAATCATCCCAATCAAAGCTTCCTTCTGCCCTCTGGAAGTTTTGCTTTGGACACCGAGTAGGAACATTGTTTCTTTACAGGGAATGCAAATCGCAGAAAGTGATCGAGGTCGTTCGGCCGCTTCCGAAAGGCCAAATCCCATTGTGTGTAGAATCGACGATTCTGGAGCAGGGGAACAATGGAAACTATGGTAACACAGCTATGCTTGCTATTTTCAGTTGTCATTTTTAGCTATTTCTGAGTCTACCCGCAAGGTGGCCGTCATCCTGTTCGACCTGCAGCTGGTTGACCGGACGAGTCTCAACTCTGGTGGTAAATTTTTTGATATATATTTGATCATGCGATGAATCGAGACGGTTTTTTCTTCATCTTGTTTCAGAACGGGCTCGTATCTTTGAGGATTCGGCTCGCCGTATTGTTGAACAATTCACCAAATTGCCGCCAGATGTCGATGGTACGGTGTTAGGTTGTGAAGAAAATAGGAAAATATCCTACCTTATATAATTTTGAGGTGTATCTCTGTGTGTGCGGGTGTGTGTGTGGATGTCACTTTCGAAGCCCGATTTGAGGGCCTTCCCCTGCATAAAATGCTCGAATTCTCCGTCACTGGGGGGAATCGACCCTTCTGTTTCCAATGGCGTTTTAGCATTTCGACAAAATACAATTTTACAAAGTTAGAGCCGGTTTTATTCATTTTTGGGGTTCCGAAGGGCTAATTTGCATGATGTGTGAAAAAAAATGCAAATTTCCTGATCCTTGCAAGTTACACGCGTGCGTCTGGTCTTACGGAGGGAGGGGGTCCGAAAGACTCGGAGCTATCGGGAAGTCAAATTTCTCATGCAACGGCCGCATTCCAGCGCTGAAGGCCCGCGAAGCGGGTTTTGGGCGCAGGTTACCAAAATAATTTGCTGCAAAATCATGGGTTGGCTAAAGTCTGGCTTACTCCCGCAAACTGAACCGGACTCTGATTCATGGCTATTTTCAGCGTTGATCAAAAAACATTGTGGAGGTATTGCAACGCTACAGCGGAAGGATCAATTTTTGGACAGCTGGTGTCACATTGCCACCCGGATGCTCGATGTGGAAAGTCGGTTATTTAATACATACATAGTACGAATCTGCTTAAGCATCACTGAAAATTGATAGTAAGACTAAAAATTAACAAAGTGTCCAACTAAAAAAGGACGCCATCAATTGGCTATTTTGGAGCAATTCGATTTGTAGCTTTGATCAAAAGTGCCGAGGAGGTATTTAATAGTTTACAAAAATTTTCAGCCGGATTTGTCGCTAGCCAAATTCTGTCAGCCAAGATAACTGTCTTACAAGTTTCCTAATTTTTAATGCAAGTTTACAAGTAGTTTTACAAATTTCTATTGATTAAGACAAAAAATCCGAAATTTTATTTTGATTTTTTTTTGATATTTGATTTTGAAGTTTTTGAAAAAATGCAAAAATTTGCTCATTTGCGCCGTAAGAAAAGCTCTCCGCCCTGCATCCTAAACGACCCTTTCTTGTTCAATACGTATCTAGAAACCTTGTCGATTTTGAAAATCCTGACCACTTGCGCTTTAGATGTTGACGAGCTGCCTTACAAGATGGCCAACTGGACCAAAAAGTTCCCGCACGACATGAACACCGTTATGGTGCAGAAGCGCTGCGAGCACGATAATTTCCCCAAGGAACCCTACTTCATCACGTTTTGCAACAACTTGGATAATTCTACTATTATCTGTATGTTTCAGTTACATTACAGCCAGACTTTCCTTTCAGACCCGGATTTTATCTCTGATGTGGGAATCGATCTCGAGAACCTTGTCGAAAATGGCCGCCTGCAGACTATGGATGGTAAGAATATCATTTCATATTTGAAATAGGATGCAATTAACGGCAGCATAAGTTGAATAATGTCTAGAATTTTGATAAATTTCTATTTTGCAGGTACGATTGTGGCTGCGAACAAGTTGCTCGAAGATCTGGCGAAGAAGCTAGCCAATCGTGGCTGAGTCTATGGGTCGACCCGTGTACGAGGGGATGTATCGATGTCTCGACGTCTTCAAAATCGATCTGAAGACTGACACTTGATCTCCCCATCACCCACCATTTCTCTGACTATGGAACGCCGGGGACGCCTCCCGCTGCAGAATTCCCTCCCCCCCCCCCCCCCTCTCCCCATATCCATTGTAAGCACCTGATGTGCCTCTTTTTCTATGTCCCCATCCATTCTTTGTATGTCCCCAATCTTTCTTTTTATGTGACTCCAGCCCCGGTCATGCTTTCTAATAAATACACAGGGTGGCAAAGTGCACTTTTCCGCATTTTTGAAATGAATCGGTTCTGGTTCGTTAGCGGGGGGGGGGGGGTTTCGTCTTAATCATTTCTTGGGACCACATCATCGGGGTAAAACAACAAAAATTTTCTAAAAAATTTTAATTCTAGCTAAAAACACAGTAATTTAAGAAAGTTAGAACAAAGGAAAAATAACCCTGAAAATGGAAGTTGCTTTTTGGCTATTTTTCGGGATTTTCGATATTTTTCGACAGTCTGATAACGCTATTCAAACGGGCATCGAAAAATATACTAAAAATTTTATATACAGCACACAGTCGTGTAATTTAAGATAATTAAGAAAAGAAAAATTTAAGATATTGACAAAAATATAATGAATGTAATACTATGTCATCGGAAGACAGCAAACAAATTTAAAGGCGTCAGAACACGGATGAGATCGATAGATTGGATGCCTTACAAGGCATTACGACACGTAATCGCCGCCCATTCAACATTTCGTTTTCGCCCCAGAACTTTTTGGTGTTACTCAAATATTTTACGTTTATCGCAACGAAATCAATTTTCTAGGAATTCCCGGTGGTGACCTTTTTTGTTGTTCCGTGGTCGACGCTTTTTGACCAGCAGGTTCAATCCTCGCGCGCACCAGTTTTGAGTTCCGAGTCCCTTTAAGGAAAACTCGTCGGAAAACACTGTAATTTTTCGGAATTTTTTTGATTTGGCATCGGATTGATGTGATAGGTTGTGATGATCGAAAAGATGTAGCAAAACCCGTTCGAGCTCACAAAACTTACCTCGTAAGTACCGCGGCGCAAGTGTCGGGCGCGTGTCCGCAGCGCAAATGTCGCGGTACCAGTGAAGGTCCCGTAGCGTCGTCTGTCACATCTCGTTGCGAAGAGTGTTCCCTAGCGTACTGTAGCGTACCCTAGCGTAGCGTAAAGTAACGCAGTGCATCGTACTGTAGCGTTAGCGAAGCTTAACGTACGTAAGGTAGCATGCCTACGTACGTCGAACATCGCAGCGAGATGTGCCGTAGCGCAGTGTACTGTTACGTCTCCCGTAGCGTACTGCTGCGTACTGTTAAATACGGTGGCGGGCTGTTGAGTACTCTAACCACCCGTAGTGTGACGTACTCTCGCGTACTGTAGCGTACGTAGAACGACGAAGCTAATCGGGCCGTAGCGTAGCGTACTGTCAAGTCTCCCGTAGCGTACTGCTGCGTACTGTTAAGTCCCGTAGCGGATTGTCGTGTGACTCACGTAGTGTAATGTACTCTGACGTACTGTAGCGTACTGTAGCGTGCCGTACACACATCAAAACGTATATTTATCGACAAGGCATCGTTTAACGAGTAGGTGAATCGATTCGAGCAAATATCCTTCGGTCTGTCTCTATCATTTTTTGAGACTTCTTTTTTTGAGGGGGAGGAGAGATACAAATATTGAGAGACACAGACGATCAGAGAGAGAGAGAGAGAGAGAGAGAGGGGGGAGGTTGGGTACTGTATAAGTTGCGTTCCGGAGCTTCCGTTTCCGCTTCATCCGCTCCGGAGCCGGCTATCCGCCCCGTTCGCGTTGCGGCGGGAACAGAATCTGGCGGAGGATGGCGAACAAGATGTAGGCGGTCAGCAGGAGGAGGGCCACCTGGAATTGTTACCATTTTTCAAGCCGAAATTAATTGATTTTTTTGGAATTTTGATCGGAGCAGAAACATTTGAATTTTTGCAGGTTAGTACGTTGGGGTCTGGAAAGGTAGCGGCTGGGAACCAAATTTTCCTATTTTTTTTCTCTACGGCCCTATAACAAAATCAAAACCATTTTTATAGCATTTATACATAGTTTTTAGATACCAAAAAAGTATTCTAAAAATAAAAATTTTCTAAAATGAAATATGAAAAATGACCCAAAAAGGTCGAAATCCTTGAAGTTTAATTTTTTTAAGGATCTTTTGTAACTTCCTGGAACGGATAAACTAGTAAAAACACTATAAAATTACATTATATATTATATTATACTTTATACAAAATTATATATTACGAACAGGTAAAAATAGGGGAAAACAAAAAGTGGCCCCCCGCTAACAGTCCTGAACCGAAACATCCAATTTTATTAGATTGTTTTGAGGTTGAGATCCTTCAACCCTATGAACGCTACGATAACGCCCACACACCGCCACTTCGGGCTTCAGTTGCTCGAGGAACTTGGTCAGCGATTCGCGCGTCGTCGGCGTCGGCCTGAAACGGCATGAGTTTTTTTTTTGTCGGTCCAAAAGCTTTTATTTTTGCATCCATGCACTTGCTAATAATAGTAAGGCCATTTTGAGTGGTTTTGATTGCTAGAATTTTCCAAAAAAATTCAAAATTCGAAGATTTTTTGCCTTTTTGGGAATTTTTCATGCATTTTTGCCCAAAAAGTCAGTTCTAAAATTTTTATTATTCTTGTTTTATTCTTCATACATAAAAAAAATCCCCACCCCCGCTAACAGTCCAGAACCAAACCCCCCCCCCCGTTACGAGGAAAGGTCCACTCGATTTTGGGCCGCCTGACTCACCCCTGGGCGACGGGCGGCATGGGGGACTTGGGCGCCTCGGTGAGCCCCATCGCGTCGAAGAGGAACTGCTCGACGGGCGGATTTCCACCCCAGCACACGGCCCCATCATTCATCAGACACAACAACTGCGTCAGGGTACGACGGCTGGTCGTCGTCTGGGATAGCGACGTCTGCTGCTGGTACTCCGGGAACTGAAAAATTCGGGTTCATGGTTTTGTGGGTTCTGGAGGGAGGGCGAGAGAGGGACAAAGAGAGAAGGAGAAAGAGATGGAGAGAGAGAGCGAGATAGCGATAGAGAGCGAGAGAGCGAGATAGAGAGTGAGTGAGAGCGAGAAAGCGAGAGAGAGCGAGAGAGAGCGAGAGCGAGAAAGCGAGAGAGAGAGCGGGGGAAAGAGATGGAGAGAGCGCGAGAAATCGAGAGAGCGCGAGAGATAGAGAGAGCGAGAGAGCGAGAAAGCGAGAGACAGAGAGCGAGAAAGAGAGAGAGAGAGAGCGAGAGAGAGACAGAGAGAGCGAGAGAGATACCTCGGTGATGAGAAGAATCTTGGGATCGGGCAGTGCCTTGTCTTCATTATGCGCCCTCAGCTCCCACGTCAAAAAAACTCGCGCCTGCGTCCGGGGCCCAATGTGCCCAGAGCTAATCGGGGACGCCTGACAAAAGAAGTACAGCAAATTCCTTGGCTAAATTGCGTTATATGGTCACTAAACATTTTGGATTTTTATATACCAAAATGCTCAGCAGTTCGAGCTGGTTCAGGATCAGTTGAAAAAACTATTGGGAAACATTTCTGGAGCGAGTTATAACACTTCAAAGTTTGGCGTCACCCCGGCCGACTACGTAACGTTGTCGCCCCGGCGAGTCAGTTTTCGGTGTTGCGAAAAATGGTTGGGTTCGAAATGGGTTTGGCATGAAACTACACACCCGATCTGAGCCTAAAAATAAGGCTTCGTCCCACCTTGCCTGACAATGTATATTTTTTACCCTTGAAACGGCAATTCTCCACCATTCCGTTTCTTTCCGATGTACAGTTGGCGTATTTTGATGTACTACCTACTACTTCAGGGGCTGAATGGACGGTTTGTAAGCTAGATATCTCGCGACAGAGATTTTTCCCAAAATTTTTTTCAACTGATCTAAAATCAGCTCGACCTGCTGAGCGTTTTGACACATAAAAATCGAAAATCCGTTTAGTGACCATATACGACACTCGCCAATTTTGAAGTGTTATAACTCGCTCCAGAAGTGTTTCCCAATAGTTTTTTCAACTGATCCTGAACCAGCTCGAACTGCTGAGCATTTTGGTATATAAAAATCCAAAATCCGTTTAGTGACCATATAACGCAATTTTCCCAATTCCTTAATTCCGAAAAATACCGTAATGCACTCGGAATTGGCCTTGAGCTCGAAGCGGAGCGGTCGATCGGAGATGTTGCAGAGGACAAGCTGGACACGGGCACGCCATGGGTGCTCTTCAAGACGAGTGAAATGGACTCGCGTGCCACGCTTGCCACGCGAACGACGGGCTGCAAAATGTAACGGTACTGGACTCTTAGCGGGGGGAGTTTGGGGAGTCTGTAGCTCACCGGATCTGTTTGATTTGCGTGGTGTAGTGGCGGAGAGGGCAGTCCGAGGGGCGGGGCTTGATCCGGCACGAGATGTCTTGCGACGACGGGGCGATACCGTAACCCCCGCAGTACCCATCGAATCCGATGTCGAGTTGTTGCTGTAATGAAGAAAAAAAGTAAATAAAAAATATAATATATAAGTAAATATAATATATATTTATATATAAGTAAATAAAGTAAATAAAATATAAAAACATTGTTAAACTTTTAGCTCTTAAACACATTTTAAATATTAGAAAAACAAATGTTTCGAGCATGGAGCATAAACAAAAATAAAAACCAATTTTTTAGAATTCAAAACAAAAAATCACCTTTTCTCCATCAACACATCAGCCAGTTTGCCGGGGTGCCGAGCCGACCGGGTGAGTGGCGAGTACGGTAGAAAAGTGGAGTGAGAAAAGTGTCATTTTTCAGGTTTTTAGACGCAAAATGAAATGCTAATCACCCTAAATTTCCTGGCAGTAAAATTTGAATTATAATGGATTTATGCAAATTACCCGGATTTTTCTAGGCTTAGTTTCGTTTATCCTACTATATATAAAAAAGTAGTGTCTGTGTGTGTGTCTGTGGACACTTTGCATAAATGACTCGAAAAAACCGGGTTACCAAGATATCGCGAAGGGGGATAGGTTTTCGGGCCCAGTCGAAAGGTATTTAAGGGTATTCGAGGGCGTAGATTACTGCACGCTTTTCAGATTTTTAAGAAAATGACGATTTATACCTTATTTTAGTGTTTTAAAAACATATGGAAATGACCTAATTTGCATACTAGGCGCTAGGAGGCTCATTTTGGATTTTGTCACGCTCCCAATCGGTCGCTTTTGTCATTATTGAGGTTGAGAGGTTGGCGCTAATTCGCTAGAACTATGCAAAGTGCCCAACGTCTTAAGATCCCGCGCAAAGGCCAGGGGTGAAAAGCCGCGTAGCGGGCTTTTCAACCCTGGTTTAGGTTATTTTTAAAAAATTGGCGGGTGAAAATGAGATATCCAGTTGAAATAATTAAAGTCGACTAATTTAATTTCGAATTGATACATTCTTTTTCTTGCCCAAAAATCCAAATTTTTAAATTTTCGCAGAAAATTAGCATAAAATCACGGGTTTTATTAGTGTTGGAATTCCGTAAAATCACTTCATCTCCAACCCTACTCGCACCGCATGCGGCTGAAAAAGAAGCGTTCGTTTCTGTCGCAAATTTAGACGAATTTATCGTGATTTCAATCACGGCCTTTTGCAAATTTCAGGGCCCCTCGAGGTGGTGACGCAATACGGGACCGTCGAGGGATTCAGCGTCAAAGTCGTAAGTTTTCAGATTAAAAACCGCGTGAGCCGAAAGTTCTGAGCGAATTCCGGAGAGGCGGTCACGAAAGAAAAAGAAACGAAACAAATTATCGCGTTAAAGTTAAAGTAAAATTTACTACGACGGCGTTTCTTCTTTTTTTTCATTTCTTCTATCTATTTCTTGATTTTTTGTTGAGTTGCGGAAGGCCATAAAAGGATCTTGCATTCTCATAAAATTTTTCCTCCGACCGGGAAATTTTGATGAAACACGTTTTTTTTTGTCCGTTGGTAGTTTTGGTAAGACTCCAGATACCCCTCCCCAGCCGACCCGCACCTACCGTATCTCGGCTCTCTGTTTATCTACAGGTGTGTAAAGTATACCAAAATGTTCGTCTTGCTTTGGCGGGTATTTTCGTATAATTTACACATCTCTAGATGAACAGAGAGCCGAGATACAAAAGTTGGGCGCCGACTGGGGGGTATCTGGAGTCTTACCCCTATTTTTTCGGGTTGTAGGATGAAACGGAAGCGGACGTCTTCCTCGGCGTCCCCTACGCCAAGCCACCGCTCGGCGAATTGCGATTTCGGGTATCAGTTTTTCGGCTCAAGTCTAGGAAACCCCCCCCCCCCCAGCCGACTTTTCAACTTTTCTACCTTCGTTATTTTTATTTTTCGCTACTTTTTTTCGACTGAACTGCAATGTAGTCTTACTAATTAGCCTACGGCGAACATTTTGGTATACTTTAGAGCTGGCTAGCATAAAGGGGGGCGAGATACAAAAGTTGGTGCCGGCTGGGGGGGGGGGTTTCTAGACTCTTACCGTTTTTTCGACTTGCTTAGAAACTTAAGCAAGGCAAGCCAGCAGAAAGTTTGATAATAGTTTACTTTGCCCCCCACAGCCGAAGGGTCTCAAAGTTTTCGGTATTTTCGCTTATTTTGTCGGGTTTTTTGCAGCGCCATTCGGTAGAGCGTCGAAAAATATATTAAGAGTTTTAATTTGAGCCCACAATAATGTAAAATAAAAAAGATATAGCCAAAAACTTCCTGCTGGGGGGTGGGGGTAAAGTAAACCGTAGCGGAAAGTTTTGTGGTTTCTATTAATGCGCAAACTGTATTATCGATTTGCAGCGTCCCCAACCCCCTGATCGTTGGCCGGGCGTGCTGAAGTGTATGAAATACAAAGAGCGCTCCATCCAGAAGAGCCACTTCATCGAACGCCTTCTCATGGTAATGGGTCACGTTGTTGGTGATACTTTTTTCGGTACTGGGCTCTTAGCGGGGGAAGGGGGGCTGGTAGGGGAAATCAATTCCTATTTGTATTCCCTACCTGGTGGTAATACGGTGCTTTTGCATTAATGAGGGCAGGCGTAGCCAGAAAAAAATTTCGGGGGTCCCCCAAAAAATTTTTCCGAAAAACTCAAAAAAAATTCACGAGTAAACAGCGCCCCAGGCAAAAAAAATTTTGGAAAAAATGCTACATAGCTCTACAAATAGCAGCAAAAACGTGGCCCGGGCCCAGGGAGCCCACCTCACGCTACGACCCTGAATGCGGGGCTCATTTTCACAAAATGAAAAGATTTCTTTTTTAAACGATTTGTATTATTTTTAAGCGTAAAAACTTTACAAATTGACATTAAAAACACGAAAGGCGGTTAGCGGTATTCGGTTCTAGGCGGTTAGCGGGGGGGGGGGGCGGGTTAGCAGTGGGGTAAACCGCTTTTTTATTATCGCGTAATCCTACCTTTTGATGATTTATTATGTATTTTTATAGCGTTTTTAATGGTTTTTGGTTGCTAGCAAGTTATAAAAACATTTTGAAAAGTATCGAAAATTCGAAAAATTCACTTTTTTGGTCATTTTTCATACATTTTCGACCAAAAAGTCAAAAAATTTCGAAAATTTGCATTATTTTTGTATTGTTTTTATATCTAAAAACTATGGAAAAATGGAAAATGCTTTAAAAATTGTTTATTTTGGCTATAGGGCCGTAAAGAATCACAGAGAGAAATTTGCCCCGCCCCCGCTAACAGAACAGAACCATTTTTCTGACGTCGAAAATTGCGTTTCAAGGCGTAATAAATTATTTGAAGAATCGCTGCTCGGAGGACTGCCTCTACCTGAACATCTTCGCCCCGAAAATCGAGGACGACAAGGTGGTTTTGTGTGGTTTTTTTGGGCTCGCTTTTCGCTATCTGGTTGTGCGCCTACAAGTTACTGTAGAAAATCAACCTGTGAATTCCAGATTCTCCAAAAATACCCGGTGTTCTTCTACATCCACGGCGGCGGGTTCATGATGGACACGCCCGCGCGGTACGACGTCGCCAAGCTGTGCAGGTATTGTTATGCCGAAGAAAAACGCCAACTTATTGAATCCCCCTGGAACCTCCGGTTTTCCAAATTTTTTGAAACTTCGCTTTTCCAAAAAAAAATTGGTTTTTCAGCTTTTTAACAAAATAAAGCAAAAAATGTTGTTAAGTATTTTGAAAACTAACAAAATAATGAAACAACAAGCAAATATGTGATAAAAAAAGCCAGTTAAAAAGCTAAATAAGCATAAAATTTCGAGTAGTTTTGAGTTTACTTTAAGCTATTAAATAAATAGCTTAACGTAAACTCAAAACTACTCGAAATTTCGATAAAACTTATAGTTTTTGTTGAATTTTTCAAGAAACATTATTTTTGTACAAATTTTCTCTTGGTGATCCTAGCTTTGGTAAAGTTTCAAGCTGTTTTTAATAGTTTAATAATGATATTTAGGCTATTTTGCATTTTTCTTTTTTTTTTAGACAGTTCGTCTCGCGCGACGTGATCCTCGTCACGATCCAGTATCGCCTCGGCTTTCTCGGCTTCTTCTCCACCGGCGATTCGGCGTGTCCGGTCCGTCTTTCTGGAATACCGGAGGAAAATTTATTAAAAACTGTGTTTTAAACTTTAGTTAACCCCAAAAAAAACTGAAACTGTTAGCGCAATTAAATTCGCAATGATTGATTTTTACTACCATTCTTTCCTTTTTTACGTGACTCGCATTGACAAATTCTGAATCGTGTGCTCCGCCATTTTCAATGCCATTCCTTTGACAAAACATTTATTTTTGATCGTCGCCATTGCAGGGCAACATGGGCATGTTCGACCAGGTGCTGGCCCTCGACTGGGTCCGCAACAACATCGAGGCGTTCGGAGGTGGATTTATAAAAACATAATAAAACGTTTTGAAAATGTTGCGTTTCGGGCAAAAATCATGAAAATGGGTGAAAGTGAGCCAAATCCTCGAATTTTGTAACAGCAGCAGCAACGCTTTTTAAATTTTTAGTTTTTAAAAACTATTAAAAGCACTATTGAAACAAACTCCATTTCGAACCAGGCAGCCCCCCCCCCGTTAAGAGCAAAGCACCGTCAAGCCTTTTTTTGCAGGCGACCCGAAGGCGATGACAGTGGGCGGTCAAAGCGCGGGCGCCGTATCCGCCGATCTGCTCAGCATTTCACCGTATACCCGGGGTACGGTACAAAAGAGGCAAACTATTATGAAAACATTGTAATATTGATTTAAATGTTACGTTCCCTAGTCGTCCGCAGAGGTGTGCTATTCTTGCGATCTTGGTATCTATCGAAAGCTCCCGACGAGCTGAGGACATGGGCGCTCTATGATTTTGGGTGGAGTGCAGTTTACCCCCCCCCCCCCAGCCGAGCCGCATCTACCGTATCTCGGCTCCCTGTTCATCTACGGGTGTGTAAAGTATACCAAAATGTTCGTCTTGCTCTGGCGAGTATTTTGGTATACTTTACACACCTGTAGATGAACAGGGAGCCCAGATACGGTAGGTGGGTGCCGGCTGGGGGTGGGGGGGTAAACTACAGTTAAGCCATGATTTTTTTGTGAAATTCCAGATTGTTCTTTCAATTACTAATATTTTTGCGAGATTCACTGAATTTTTGATGCTCCCCCGATAAAAGGGTGTTTTAAAATCACAATTTTTTTTTGGAATTTTGAAGCGACTTGCGACAGCTTTTTGAAAGGCATTTGTGAAAACAGGATAACACTCAAGACGATTAATTTGAGTTTTTGGAGAAAAAAATGTAACTTTGGCATGAAACATGCAAAAAAAAATCGGGAATTTCGGAAATCTGAAAGAACATATTTACTCAGCTCGTCGAGAGCTTTCGATAGATACGAAATCGTAAAAATCGGACGCGATTGTGGCCCTCTAGTTAGCGTTTTTCTTGCACTTCACTGTATTCCCCGTAGCGTGCAAATAACGATTTGTTGCAGGCAAATTCCAGCGAAAGATGTGCCTGGGCGGCTCGTCATTTTGCCATTGGGCCGTCGTCAAGCGCGAGATGATCGTTGAATATTGCCGCAAAAAGGTTGGTTTTTTGCCGTAAGTTCGGTTCTGGGCTTTTAGCGGGGGGGGGGACTATTTTTTTCGTATTGAGATTCGTATGTATTCTTAATAGGAGTATTTCCTTAATTTTTCTAGTAAATAAAACTATTTTCTAACTAGAGGTTTCTCCACAAACTTTTAAAAAACTTCAAAAATTCGATATTTTGGTGAAAAACGGCCATTTTTAGTCGAAGTCGTCATTTTTAGTTGTATTTTTTTTAATAAAATTGTGTAACATTTTTTACGTTACGAGATAGTAATAAGCGGTTTAGTGACGCTTGCGCTATTTATCTTCACAAAATTCATCATAAGCAACAAATTTTTCCCACCCCTGAGTAGTCGAAAGAACCCATAATTTCGATGTTACAAAAAAGTGCCTTCTCGGCGGTCTTAAAAAACCACTTTTAGGCGGAGCAGCTGGGATGGCCAAAACGGCCCGGCGATCAACTAACCCCCAACGACAACGACGCGATGATGGACTGGCTGAGGACGCTGCCAGCTGTCAAGTAGCAGCTCTAATTTTGCCATTAAATTACTCCTAAAATTTCCGGCTTGGCGCGACGCTGATCGGCGAGGCGTGCGTGTTCGAGGAGGGCCGATTGCCGTTGGGTGCGTTTTGCCAGAATTTTTTTGATTTTTTGACATTCTGTTCCAAAAGTGATGTCGCTCCCCCCCCCCCCCCCCCCCGATAGTGCAAAAGCGCCCGAATATTGGTTTCAGAAAAATTCCACTAATGAGCATTGTTTCAAAATTTTCTAAAAAGAATGTTTTTGCAAATTGCCCTATTTCGTGTGAAAAGCCGCCCCGAATTATCTGTCGCACGGCTTTCAATTGTAGGTAAATTCTTTGGCATTTTTTCTGCCATTTTCCGGATTTCTAAATGTTTGCAATAGAATGTTTGCAATTAAATAGATTTTAAGGCGTTTTACAGGACCCGTCTACGACGGGGATTTCCTGCCGAAAAACGTGCGCTATCTACGGGATCGCGGGCCGTCGATGCGGAGCCTTGTCGGCGTCGGGCAGTACGAAGCACTGGCTTTTGGTAGGAGCTCAGCGTTCCTCAAACAATCTCTGCTAGCCTGTCCAGAAAATAATAATTTTCAGCCCCGCTCGGCCGGCTGAAATGCGACGAGGAGGACATCAGACGGATGATCCGTACGCTGGCCCGGAATTCGAAGGATTTTGACGAAAAGGTGGGTGTTTCACGAAAGGTTACCTGCCTCTCTAGCTTTTTTTTTATCAGTGGTCTCACGCAACTGAAAATTGGATAGTAAAGTAAACAGTAAGCTAAAGAGAATAGTTAGTAAACATTGTTAATTTGGGATTTTTTTGCAGGAAATCACCCAGATGATCACCCAGATCTACGGGGATGGCGAACGGTTGGCCACGACGCGGGACGGCATCGCCAGACAGTACATACAGGTTTGACTTTTAATCCTACTATATATAAAAAAATAGTGTCTGTGTGTGTGTGTGTATATTTGCATGCAACTTCCGTAAGTATGTACCGCACCTACAGCCTCAGGGGAAGGTTTTTAAGGTACGTATGATACGTCATTAGGTGCGTAATGGTCCCGAGATGGGTGCACAAATATAAAATTTAAGAAAATCGGCTGTTTTCGCTATTAAAATTCAGTTTTTGTCAATATATCGAAAAACCTCTTTGTTAGGAGGCAATTAGCATTGACCGGAAGCGCCAGTAGCCTATAAAAAGGAAGGGAGGGTGCGCTTTTCATTTTTTTGGTGATCGGCATTCGGCAAGCCCTATGTAAAGTCAAATTTTCAGAAGTCCTAGACGGGGCCAGGGTTGAAAAGCCGCGAAGCGGTTTTTCAACCCTGGTTCTTAAAGAAAAAAGGCCAGCTTTGGAGGTGAAAATTCTGAAGTGCGTGAATTTTCAAATTCTGAAGCCATTTCTGGGATCGTCAGGCGGTTTTAATCATTTTAGCTTCTTCATTTTTCCAAATCGACCCAAGAATCACCAAAATCGAGGAATGGGATGCTTTAAAGGGCATTACGACATGGAATCCACGCGGGCCGAAAATGCCGTTTTTTCACCACAAAATGTCGCTTTTTCTCAAATAGCTTTGATCTCAGGATATGCAAAACTTCGAATCTGAGCTTTTTTACGCTCGGACTTTTCGATAATTTTCGAAACACAATTTTTGCAAAATTTTTCTAGATGGCCTCCGACATCATTTCGAACCACGCCTGCTGGCGATTCATCAACTACTATCAGGTGCGGGGGCAATGTTTTAAAGGGCCGTTGAAGCTGCGCATACGTCCTATTTCTTGATTTAGAAGCGTAACGTCGAGACGTACGCGTACTCCTTCGAACACACCAGCCATCGTGTCTACGGACTCTTCGGACTGCTGCTCCCCTTTCATGGTAGAGAGATAGAATGAGAGAGAGAGAGAGAGAGTGAGTGAGAGAGGGAGGGAGAAAGAGAGAGAGAGAGAGCGAGAGAGAGCTTGACCAAGATCTTTCAGGCGCATCCCATGGCTCGGAAATCGCCTATTTCCTCGACTTCAACCTGTTCCACTCGCCGCTGGGCCGCGACAAAAATGATCTGGTGATTACCGTAGCCCTTGTCATTTTAGATGATTATTTCATTTTCTTTTTTAAATTACTGTTGACTCAGCTATTTTACTTTAAATTTATGAAATTAAATTAAATTAAATCCTAATTTTAATTGAATTACTTTAAGACTATTCCAAGCGTAAGAACTATAGGTAATTTTCTAACTTAAAACATTACATTTCCACCTTATAAATTTAGTAAGCCGAAAACCCTTTTTTCCGTTTAAAACCTTCGTCTTTCGTCTGCAGAGCACATTGCCAGCCTCAATAACTTATATCCTTCCAAAAATGTTGAAACATTTAAACCGTCGAATTTTCGCATTCCTGACTTTTGTTAGAGCGTGAGTTTCATACAAATTGTTCCAGAAAATGGCCGAGCTGACCGCCGACTATTTTGTGTCGTTCATTCGCACTGGGTACGGTTGTTTTGGTTCAAAAGTTTTTCGCCGAATTCAGATACAAGAAAATGTTGCGTCTGATTCAGTCGTACAGCTATTTTTTTACACTCCAATAAATTATCTCAAAGTTCTCGCTTGTGTTATTAATTACAGTGATTTAATTTAAGTGATTTTTTTAATTTAAACCATTTAATACGACAGCTACGACCGTATACTTTTAAGGGACCCGAACAACCACGGAAAACCGGCGCTACCCGATTGGCCAGTGGTTGGGGCCGGAGAAGTGGCCGCTGACAAAATATTCGCAATGGCACTGCAGCCGAAAGTCAGATTCGAGGTGGGAGAGATAGAGAAAGATACAGAGAGAGAGAGAGAGAGAGAGAGAGCGAGAGAGATAGAGAGGTAGCGAGAGCGGGAGAGAGAGGGATAGAGAGAGTGGGTGAGTGAGAGACAAAAGAGAGAGTGCGAGAGAGCGAGAGAGAGTGCGTGAGAGCGACAGAGAGACGGAGAAAGAGAGAGCGAGCCAACGCGAGAGAGAGAGATAGAGAGAGCGAGAGAGAGAGAGAGAGAGAGAGAGAGAGAGAGAGATAGAGAGAGCACTTCATTTTTTAGGCCTGGGGCTCCCGTATGCGTCAATTGGACCTGATCATCGAGCGTGTCCTCTGGGTGCACGAGCTCAACTCCTCCTCCAAGCGCACCCATCAGGGTGGGTATTTTTTGCCTTGTCGCTTCTTCCCCATTAACATGGGGGGGGGGGGAAGGGGCGGGGGAACCTAATTTTTGCAAGTACGGTCCTCTAGAAAAAATTAAAATCATTGAACGCTAAACGTTTTTTAGAACACAAAGAAAAATGATCAAAAAGGTCAAAAATTTTTGAATTTTCAAAAATGAGGCAAAAAGATCATTTTATAACTATCTAGCAATCAACAAAAATCTAAAAATTCTAAAAACAGGGAGGCACGCTCCCCTTACTTCAGAATCACCCCGAATTTTGCAGCGGCGAAAGACGACCCGGATCCGGTGGCCCGATCGGAGAGCCGCACGCAGAGGAGGTGAGAAACCGTTATTCCGGCAGCATCTGCCAAAATTACCGGAATTTTTAATTAGCCTTTGCAAAAAAAATGGCAGAAAATTAAGTGTTGGTAATTTTTTGGGCTTAATTTGGGACTTTTTCTGCGAAATTTCATGCCTGTTGCTTTCTAAACTAACGCCACCACAAGCCCTTGCCATGGATTTCCTAAACTTTACCCACTTTTCACAGCCCGAGCCCCGACTCGCACAGCTCCATCACCCAGGCGTCGCCCAGGTATTTTTAATTTTTTTTAATAAATTCTTAGGCTTCATGCTTTTTTGTGTTTTTAAAAACTTTTTAAAAAAAACTTAGTAGAAATAGTTTTAAAACCGGCCAAGCATCACTGCTAGCCTGCCCGTTTTTGCTTCCATATTTCACCCCCCTCTTACAGCCCAAAACCGAGCGGAAACCTGAGCACGATCCCGCGCGTCAGCTTTGCCGAGGATCTGTCGTCGGCCCGTGAGGTGGGTCATAAATTTTTGAGTTTTTAAAAACTCTTTAATTTACTTTGAAGTTTGTGAAAGTCATTTTTTTTTTGTTGCCGTCAAGTCAGCAAAATCCATAAATCGTCTTCCCGGCCCCCTTAAAACGCACCTTTCAGGGCCCATCGTCGAGCTCGGACCGAACGCGTTCCGAGGACAGGTTGCCACCGAAAAAGCGTTAAGCCCACCCAGCAAGAAAATCCGATCCCACTTGTAACAGTTAAAAAGTGAGTTTTCGGATTAACTTGGCTTCCTGTCCCTTAAAACTGGTTCTTTCGCATTATCGGGGTGACCAACTTTTTCTAAAACTAAAACTTCCTAATGATCCAAATTTTCTAATACAAATACATTTTCTAATACTTTACAAATAGAGAAAGGATTTTTTAAATGTTTTTATTTTTCCTAAACGAAAAACCTTAATATTCGGATGAAAAAAGGCAAACCCCCCCCCCGATATTGCGAAAGAACCTTAAAATGAAGTAAAACTGACGTTTTGACCGTTTCAGTTAACGCATTCAACTCGATGCCCTCCCCACTACTGCTTCTACTTCCGGCTGAAGAAGCCGACTCACTCAAGATATCAAAAGAGAAAGAATCCATTCGTTCGCGCCTCGGCAATTCGATTAATTTACACGTGCAATGTGCTTTCCGGTTTTTCGCTTCGGCCATCAATAAATCTATGTACTTGTTGCGTGACTAGAAATATCACCCCGCGCGGCGCGCGCGTTGCGTGCCGTTTGCGCGGAAAATTCCACAAACAATCGATAACGATCCCTTTTTAATGGCTTTTCGATAAAAGAGATCTAGGAATAACTACTACCAATAGGACTAATTGCCCGTTTTTGGCAAAACCAGAATCAAAATTCCCAAAATTTATTGGAAAAACAACAACAACGACGACACAACAACAACGAGAACAACAGAACCATAAAATATCAAAGAAAAGATTGGGGAGGGGCGTGGAGACGCAGAGAAAAATGTGTAAACTACGAAAAATACTATGGGAATGGGGGAACGGGCAAAGTAAAAAACAATTTGCGAAAATAGCTAATCTAGTAAATTTTTCAAGCTAAAAAGGAGCATTCCCGCAGGACTTTATTTGTTGTCGGCCATGACGAGGCCGTGGTCGAAGAGTAGACGAATAAGCTGCAGGGCCTGGCGCTTCTCCAGGGACAGCTCGCCAAGCGTCGTCCATTCCGGATAGGCACTTTGCAGCTGGATGAAGCCCTCTTCCAACTGAAAATGAAGGTTGTGAGAGGGGCGGGCTAGCAAAGATTGTTTGAGGAAATGGACGGACCCCGCGAGGAGGGCAGGTTAGCAGAGATTCCTTGAGGGAGAGAGAACCAAATGCGAATGCTACCTCCAAATCAAAGGCGAATTGTTGTTCGGGGCGTCCGCCGTATTCCAGCGAGTTCGACATACGATGGACGACGAAGGCAGACGTCTCCGACTCGAAAATCAGCCTAAAAGGACAATCCTTGTTGAGGCAGCAACGCCCTTACCGCTGTGCGTGACGTCGAATGAAGCGGACGCGTGTCTTCTCATTCAGCTTCAGCTTGCGACCCCCCAGGAAATCGACGGCACCGACGGCGGAGAGGCGTCTCTCTTCTGAATGTAAAAATTGCCAGGTAAAACTCCCGAACTACGAACCCTCGGTGAGCATCGGCGGCAGAGCGGTGCGCATGAATTCGCGGGCCATCAGATCGACGGCCACGTGCACGCTGGACCGGATGCGGCGACCGAGGGAAGAGGCCATCTTGACGATTGGCACGGCAAGCCTGCAAAAAAAATAGAAAAATCAAAGGGACAAACAAGGAATGAGTATGACCTTTTCGGGCATGAATTTCTTATGGATTTTGCCGCACGCGCGACCCGCAACGCCTTAAATTGTCGGTACTAGCCTTTTAACGGGGGAGGAGGAGCTGTTAAGAACAAATTTTGAAGCTTTGATGATTTTTCATACCATTTTTTACCCAAAAACCAACATTTTTCGACATTTTTCATGTGATTTTATATCCAAAACTATACTAAAATGCATAAAATGGTCAAATTTAGTTATCGGGCCGTACGAAATCATCACATGAAGTTTGTTTCCTCCCCCGCTATCAGTCCAGTACCCAAAACGCGAATGGATTACGATAAAATCCATAGTCCACCCTTGCCGGTCCCTTTAGCCCATGCTCACTTCTCCTCCTCCTGCTCCTCGTTGCGGTAGACGAGCTCGGCGACGCCGGTCATGTCCAGGTAGCCGGGCGGGATGCTGCGGCGCACCCTGGAAAGTGGAATTTTGCAAAAACAATTAAAATTAGCCTATAAAGTGTGTGCCTCAAAATTCACTCAAAAATCCCCGAAAATCGCGAAAACTACCAACTTTGAGCTGGAGGCGATGACCTCCTCGACGGCGGTGGGCACAATCTTCTCGAGCAGATCGGCGAACGAATGGCTGAGGCCGACGGAGACGGTGATGTGGAAAGAGTGTACGTCTGGGGAGGCCGAGCCCTAAAATGTTGCGTTTTAAGGGGCCTGGCACGGCATGGCTATAGATTTCCTACGAATTTTTCCGGACCGTCACGCGCCCTGTGAACTCACGCAATTCTATTTCGTAACCGATTGCGACCCGATAGATAGAGCTTTAAAAATATACAAGGCTAATTAAATTCACCCTAAAAAATTTAACTTACAAGTTTTGCAGCTTAAAAATATTGACTGAAAACTCGCGCGCCATATAGGATAACGGAAAGAAGTAGATCTTGGTATTTTGATAATGCCAATCAAGAGAGGACCGAAAAATATCCTGAGATTTTTATGGCCCGAAAAACCAGAAGAACTACTTTTTATCATAGAAAACCGAGCGACATATAGAACCCTGCCAATCCCTTCAAACCGAAGCCAAAACACACCTGGTGGATGAAGCCGCGAGGCAGATAGAGCATATCCCCCTGTTCCAGCCATCCCTCGAAGCACAGCTGTCGGCCCTTCATGTCCTTGTCCGAGAAGTTGCCTGTAAAAGCGGTTTCACAGCATTCCGCCCTTTACCAGTTGTGTTCGTTTGACCGGGACAGGATGGCAGGCATACAGGGGAAGGGTGAATCTGCGCTCTGGCCCCGCCCCCTGTTCTCTTCCCCCGTGCCCTATAGTCTAGTCTCACTCATTCCCCGCCTATTCCGCGCCCCACCCCTCCCCTGTGTGTCTGCACCCCGCCGTCTAGCCACTATCCGCCAGCCCACTCACGAACACCGCGGAATTACGTGGTTTTCGAATCCAGTAATCGATGTCCTAATCGGTTACGCGATGAAGGTGCCGCGTGCGCGTTGCGTGTCCAAACAGATGTTAAAAAAACTCGAAAAATTCCATCACTAACTCAATAAGTCCCATGACTTTTTTCACGGAATTTTAACCTACATTAAAAAAATTTTACAAGGTCAAAATTATTCTTGAACTGAAATTCCAATGTTTTCACCATAAGATCGAGATTCTAGAACATTTTCAAAACCCAAACACGCACCAGAGCTAAGCCTGGGGAGACTGGCCTCTTCGGTGTTGGGGGCCCACACCTTCCAGAACTTCCTGCCCTCCAGCTGCATCAGAAACGCGTCGATGTCGTCCCAGTGGGGCGCGAAGCCAGAGGAGCCGGCCGGAGTCATGTAGCTGAACAAGGTGTGCGTCAAATGGAAGGCCGCTTACGTGTTGGCGCCGACGAAGCACCCGAAAATCTCCTGTAGCTGGTCGCACAGGTACCAGACGCGCGGGAAGAAGGTCTGCGGGTTCACCAGCTGCACCGAGTGGCCATCCTGGAAAAGAAGAGAATTGGAGGGCGATCAAAAAGGGAAACCCCCCCCTCATTTTTAGGCGCTTGGCCGTTCTCGCCCGCCCGACTTGGAGCAGTTCAGGCCAAAAACGCACCGCCAAATGCTTCTGTACGTGCCGCGGGTAGACGCGTCCGGTGCCGTTGATCGTGTAGCGCACGCCGTCGCGGTACTCGGCCACGTTGATGTTCTTCCCGTACTCCATGTGCTCCTAAAAAAAGGAAAAAAATACTGCCAATACGAAAAATGCCACCTTTGACATGACGTCGCTGAACTGGGCCAAGTCGTGCAAATTGCCGTAGTAGCCGGGGTGGCCGCGGCGGACGACCAGCGCGTTTTGCTGCCAGAAATCGCTGAAAAGGGAGGGGGATTTTTGTGGACTTCGCGAAACCCACGCAAAGAACGTCTGGACGTCACAGTTGGCAATCAGCCAGGCGAACGCCTTCGTGGAGGAGACGGTCGAATCGGGGCCCTGGAACGGGAAAGCCGAGAAGTCGAGCTGCTTGGCTTTTCCTTGCTTCTGCGCGGTGGGGCCAACCTGGAAAAGTCGATTAGAAGCTGTAAAAGTTTAAAAATCGTATTAAATGTTTTTAAAAAACGAGCTTAAAATTTAATAACAGCAAAATTTGAAAAAAAAGCCATTTGGTATAGGAAAGCATAGTTAATAGTCAAAATTCCAGCTGTTCTGGTCAGAAATTTCCGCAGCAAGCATTTTAAACGCTCACCACCACCGCCTTCCGGTCGACGACAAAGCCGAGCCCGTCTTCCTCATCGTCAGATTCCCCGGAGAGGTCGAGACCTTCTAAAAATAAAAATATAGCTATCCAAAAACAGGCAAAACGCACCGAAAACTTGATCATCTTCTTCATCCTCTTCTTCGTCTTCTTCCTCATCCTCATCATCATCATCATCATCGTCATCTTCTTCCTCGTCTTGTTCATCACCCTAAAAGCGTAAAAAATCAAAATTATGCAAAAAAACCAACCTCATCCGGCGAATCGTGCAGAAAATGGACTTGATCCTCGTCCAGGTCGATCGAATCGCCATCGCCGCCAAGTTCGGCCTCCTCATCTTCATCCACCTCCGAAGCTGAGGACAGCGATTCTGAAAATCGTAATTATTCAATTGATGCATATTAAATCTAAATTAATTTAACTCTTTTCACACTTATTTAAACTACTAGGCGCGATTTGTGGCGCTTTCTATTGCGTAAAAAATAGTTCCTCATCAAGTCTGGGAAACGGCCCCGCTGTTTCCAATCGTGTTTTTAGAATTTTGATAAAATGAGGTAAAAAAGTAAAGTAAGGTGGATTTAAATTGATTTCGAGGGGCACGAATTCGTTGGTTTTTCATCATCGAAAACCGCGGTCCATAAAAACCACAAGTTTCAAGCCCTTACCCATTCCGTCGACGTACGACACGTCCGACTCGTCCTCCTCGTCGTCGCTGCCCAGCTCGTCCATGCGAATGAATTCTGGAGAATGGTTAGTTCAGCAAAATTCGGATTCAATAATTACCAGCCAAATCGCTGCCATCCTCATCGCCCTCCGAGCCGTCGTCGCTGAGCTCGACGAGCTCCTCCTCGGCCGCCTCGGCCTCGTCGTCGGGGTCTTGGACGATGTAGTCGACGCCCTCCACCGACGTCATCTCTTCCCGGATCGTGCGCTTCGTTTTGGCTAAAGGAAAGTTCAAGGTATGTGATTTCAGCAGAGGCTCCGCTGCCGCGATACGCAATGCGTACACTGCTTGGCCACCGTGAACGGGTCGTAACCTATCACAAAATCAAAAAAAGGCGAGCGCGCAAGCGCGTTTCCGGTGCGAAAAAAACTCGTAGTTTCACATTCGCGACACGCAACCCGACGTGGCCGGGTCGTGATACATTACATCATCGCAAGGAGGCGCGCGTTGCGTACCGCGGCGGCGGAAAAATCCAAAGGCTAGAAAAAGCCATTTGAACAATTTACCTCCTCCATCGAGCGTCTTCGTCTCCACCTCTTCGACGATCACGATCTCTTGGTGGCCCTGAAAGAACGCGCTCGAATTGAACCTTCGTTTTCATGTTTTTTTTTAATTCCAGCTTCACCATACCTTGACGGTGAATTCCTTGATGGTCGGCTTGGCGGCGCCGTTCCGCAGCGTTTCCGCCACCGGCTCACTGGCCCCATTCAACTTGTCGGCCGCCTTCTTGGCATCCGTCTTGTGCAGCTTCAGCTTGTGCTTCTTCTGAAATAGGATTTTTCTTGATAATAAAGCTTGATTTCTAGACTTATTTAACTTGTTGCACAAACTGTTTTTAGAAAAAGAAAATTTAATATTTAGCAAAAAGGCACATTGTCAAGGCACTCCTCACTGAAAGGTAATTTTGAAAAATGGCAGAACAGGTGAGTTTGAATTAAATTTCAGAAAAAAAAATCTAGCCTCCTTAAAAACGTCTATATTTAAATAAGGGCAAGAAAACATTTGAAACGATAAATTACCACGTAAAATTCATCAAAATAAGTTTCTGAAATATCCCACCGACGATTCGGGCATGCGGTCGGCATTGTCGACCTCGACAAAAGTTCGGCGGTCTCTGCGCCGCCGCTGCTGCTTCGGGGCCACGTTCTCCTCGGCGTGCCCATTCGAGAAGATTGCTAAGAAAGATATCATAGCAAGAATATGAAAGAAAGGATTACCAGCTGCCGAAACGGCGCTGCCATCCTCGACGGCCGCCCAGCGGTCGGCCTTCTGTTGCTTCGGGGTGTCTAAAATTAGCGTTGATTCGATCGGAAGCTAGCTGGGGTTTTTTTAAATGCGCTTTTGCGGAAAGGTCGATGAAACGACGTTATCGCAGCTACGACTCTTTACTTCAAAAATCTTAAAACTCCTACCTCTTAAACTTTTAAAACTCGCTAAGTTTCTAAAAGTCTTAGCTTGGACTGGCGAATGAATATTGCCGTTTGCGAAATATGGCTCGCAGAAATCACATTCCCAGACCTAACCACTTTTAAAGGCACGTTTAGAAGCAATGATAGAAGTATTGGTTCGTGAGGCAATGATTCTCCCCGCGCTATCGCGATCGTTCAAATTTTGCTATTCTTGCTAATAGACGTGTACCCAAACCCTCACCCTGCTTCATCTTCTTGACATCCGGCTGATCGTTCTGCTGCGCCGCCGCCGAATCGTCGCCGGCCGACACGCTGGCGTTTCCGCGGCTGCGTCTGCGTTTGCCCATCCTGAAATAGGGTTTTTTTAGTTTTATTCAACAAGAGACAGCAAATAGAGAGCAGGGAAAACATTGGAAAAGTAAAACTCAACAACAACAACAATGGCGAGGCGATAACGAATTTTTGTGCATACCGGAAGGCCAACGAAAATAAGGAAAACCCGCGCGGTAAAGAGAGGGAAAAAAAGAAGAATTCCATCGGGAATGGCAGATCGAGAAGAATCGAAAAGAGCAGAGCCGGTTTTCGTTACTAAAAAAGGCGTAAAATCGGTTTTATAAAAGCAAAAATTTGAATTTACGAAAGCTGGTAAAAACCGTTTAAAAACTATTGGCCCTTTTTCTACATTCTTTTCTGGATTTGTTTTTCTATCATAGCTTAAAATTGGCTTAATTTAGACCAAACCTACAAAGTGGCTTTTTCTGCATAAAACCGGCAAAATTTGAAAAACTACTCTTTCCGAGAAATTAAAAATTAGATCATCTTCAGGTAACTTTTAGATACGTATTTTTAACACACTAAACCTTCTAGAATTGGCTTAATTTCAACAAAATCAACGCAATTTTCGATTGGTACTGGGCGGGGAACAACTCAAAAAACCTTAAAATTCTCTATTAGGATTTCTTTTAGATTTTCAACCAATAAAACTTCACGCTTCAAATTGGTTTAATTTTAGTTGAGAAAAAGAGTACAAATTTTACGGATAAAATGGGGGAGGAAGAGAATCATAGAAACTGTAAAACATCAACAAAATGAGTGTTCAGAAGTTTGAGCTTATTCTTTGCTTGATCCGCCGGTCAACTCGATCAGCAGCCGCTCGCAGCGTCGATTCCACGCGTCCTTGTGCTGGCAGACGAGCTGCGCGCACGGGGCGTTGGTGAACAGCTCGTCGGCGTCGCAGTCGCCGATTTTCAGCCGAATCGTGTGCCCGTCGACGTCGAGCGCGCCGAACGTCGAGACGACCTTGTCCACGTCGAGCACGTTGAGCTGAAAAATTCGCGTAAAATGGAGAGACAAATAAAATGTCCATCTACTAGAATTTTTACACAAATAGAAGAAACTTCTTTTACATAAAACCTCGTGCCAACAGTGCAATTTTAGAGGAAAAAACTACCTTGAAAAACGCCTTCAAATCGTCGCGGCTAACGGTGAGGCCATACTCGATCATGGCGAGCGCGAAATCGCGGGCGGCGCGCAGCTGCTTCACCAGCGCCACGTCGATCGAGCCGATGCGGGCGGCACGGCTGGCCGGCTTGACGAACAGCTCCTCGCTGTGCACCACCCAGTTGCCGCGCATCAGATGCGCGTACCGGGACGCCTCGTCGACGAGCCGCTCGAGCGGGAAAGGGGGGAAGATTTGGCGGAGGGTGGTGTGCGAGATGACGAAGGCTTTCAGCAGCACGGCTTTTACCTGAAAAAAGAAGGTGAAATTTTGGGTAAGATAGCAGAAACCATTTCTCAAATGCTAAAAACCGTTGGCGGTCTGGCGGCAGTTTTAGGAACTTTTACACCGTCTAAAAGCACGGGAAAAACGCAAAACCAGCGTTTTGATTTTTTTTTTTTTGATAATTTTTTGACTTTTAAACACAGCACGCTTTTCTAAAGATACCAAAATGAGCTTTTTCAAAAACTATTTGATTTCGCTGGCCAGCAGTTTAAAGGACACGAGATCCACGGATTTTTATGCTGAATTTTGCCGCGATCGCGAGGTTTTTGTCCAAGTAATCACGCGTGGTCCTATCACGAAATATAAATAATTCTTATAGCATTTTATACAATCCTTTAGATATAAAAAGCACGTTAAAAAATAAGAATTTCACGAAAAGTTTCGATTTTTTTTTGTTAAAAAAAATATGAAAAATGACCAAAAAAGTTTTTGAAACTTCAAATTTTCGAATTTTCGTAACTTTTTAACAATCGAAACCGACTAAAAACATCATGGAAATCCAAGATCTAGTCCACCGGTTCAAAATGCAAAAATTCGTTTCCGGCCTGCAACATCCTCCCGGTGATTTAAAAAAAAATTCAATCCCGTCGGCCAAACGAAATAATTTTGAGGTAGCAAAAAGCTTCAAGTGCAACGATTTTACCGAAAAAGCTCATTGTTTTTCCCGATCTAGCAGAAACCCTTTACGACCCAAAAATATACCTGCAAATCAAACGGCAACAGCTCCTTGATGCGCTGAATGACGAGCTGCGTCTCCGGGCAATTCTTGAGGTCAATCTTCTCCACCGGCTTCTTGATGATGGTCTGCAGGACGAGCTGCCGGAAGTCTTGCTGTTCGACGAGGGAGCCCAGGTTTGCCGCCGCGCCGTTGCGCTCAATGTGCGAGGCGAAGACGGAGTGCAGCTTCTCGTCGAGGCCGTCCTCGATGACGTTGTACAGCTCCAGGTGCATCCACACGTCGCTCGCGATTTGCTTCTCGCGGTGGAAGGCGGAGGCTTCGCGCCGCTTCTTCTGGCGCTCGGTTTCGGGCCTGAAAATGGGAAAATAATAAAAGTAATACTTTCTGCTCATTTTTCATCAATACTCGATTTTATTACTATTAATAAAACTTTTAGAAGCCATAAAACCCTCAAAATCGTTATAAATTTCCTTTTACGACCTTCAAAACCACGCCTTCTCCTGGACATCGATTTTGCCCATTTTTTCATCGGCTAGCCAAAAAACGCTTCAGGATTGCGATAAAAACGGGGCTTCGGCCTCAAATTTTTATAAATATGCCTTCCCACCCGTAAAAACACATTTTCACCAGTTAAATTTTTCCATCGCATCGAGGTCATGTAAAATTACGTTCGCCTTGCGGTCAAATAGCATTTTTGGACCAAATCCCTATTTTTAGCCTCGAAACGTTGAAAAATAATATTTCGGAACCACACTCTAAATAACTTTTTTTCTGGCGTGGTTATGTCTCCTCGTCTAGAAAATCGTGCCTATCCCAATCTTGAAAATAGAGTTTTTAGGGGGGAAATAAAGGCGCGCAAACCTACGCCAGAAAAAGTGGCAAAGAAAAAGAATTAATTCCGAAATAAGGCCTAGTATGTATTTATGTAACAAAAACTGGGGTCGCAAATTCTGAATTTCTCCAAGATACAAGCCGCCCGCTCTCACCTAGCAAATTTAATGCGCACGGGTTGGCCCTCGGCTTCGGAATCGGTGGCCGACTGGTCCTCGTCAATGTCCTTATCGGCGTTGCCGGCCGTTCTCCGGTTGTTCATATGGGTGAGCGGGCGGGTGAGCGGCAGCAGTCCGTCAATCGGGGTCAGGTAGAGGCGCCCCTCGTGAATCTTGCCCACCGCGTAGTTCAGCGGCCCTGTTGGAGGGTGGGCTCTTCCTGGAAAAAAAACGCGTTAGAAAAGGGTTAAGAAAAATAATTTCGCCGATTGCTGTTTCTGCATGTTTCCGCATGCATTAAGAAATATCGCACGATATGTTAAATTTGACGAAGAATCATGTGAACAATTATTCTCTGCGCCTTTTACTTAAAAAATGTTAAATTCGAATCCGCGGAAACTTGCACGCAGAAACAGGACCGGCCAAATGGGCCCAAATCAGCAGCGCTTGAAGCTTCACTCCCGCTCACCTTCAAACACCTCCTCCTGCGCGATATCCGAGGGGAGACCGGCCCGTTTTGCGCGACTTCCGCCACAATCGCCGCCGTCGCCGACGCATTTCGTCTTGTCGTACGACGCGCTGTTCTGGTCGATGCCCACCTGGAAAACATTAAGTTATGAAAATAACACTTATCGAAGTTATCCCTTTCACTACTGAAACTGATGAAACGACAACAAAAACTGGCAGGAATGATTTTTTGCGAATTCGTCTGGAAAAACTAGTCTACTAGTTCGAAAACCAATTTAATAGTCTTCTAGCAAAGTCTCAGACGATGGATTCTGTTATGCCAGCTCCTGAAACCCATAGTAATGCTAAACAAACTTTTTCATAGTCTTAGTTTTAAAGTTAGCTATACCCCGAGTCGAAAACTCTCTAGAAAACTTTGAAAATTAGAGTTTAGCCCCGTCTTTTTCATTATTCGCACTATTTTTGTTCCAAAAACCGGGATTATAACGAAAAAAAGGCTGTTCTGTTGTTCCTTTCCCGATTTGGGAGAATTCCGAAAGAACGAAATCCATAAACAGAAAGAACTCTCGCGTTAGTAGCTTCTCAAACCTCACCCTAACTTCAAGCAGCGATACGTTGCGCTTGAAGCGGCAATTCGAGCGCAACGCCTTGGTGAAGAGTTCTTTCTTGCGCTGCGGGTAGCTGACGGCGTAGAGCTTGGTGCGGAACGTTTCTGAGGAGACGTAGACGGGCAGTCGTATCGCTTGCCCCTCATCCTCATCGTCGTCAGCGAGCGGATGCTGGCGGTAGGTGGCGTTGCGCCGTGGCGCCATCGGCATATCATCGTCGTCGGACATGCCTGAAAATTGGAAGTTTTCCTGGGGAATCTAGCGATTAGGAACAGAAAGAAAAAAAAGTAGAACATACATAGCTAATGTTGATTATCCTAAAAGAACTAGATCAAGGTTATTTAGGCTACCATTTTAGATATGGTTTATTCTGGCGTTACTGCGCTCAAAAAAAGCATTAAAATGCAGCGCTCGGCTTTACTAAAGCACGTATAACCCTGCAAAAAGAATCAATAAAAGTGGATTCCCGAAAACAATCGCAAACTATTCTGAAAAAACGCACTGATGAATAGATTTTTGGCTTATTTCCTAGCTTTTTTGCTTCGATTAGGTTGATTCTAGCCATGTTTCGGTCGGCAAAACCTGCCCAAAACTCGCAAACCTAATCCCACGATTTACAAGCGCCGCCGGTTTCAGGTTCCTGCACTTCTGGCAATATTCTGACCCATAAAAAAATCCAAGTATTAGCCTCTCTAAACCCCAAAAATCGCTAATAAATGCCCTCATCTCGAAAAAATACAAAATCCCGCACGAAGTCATCGTTTTCAACGTCAAAAAGGTTTTCAAAAACGTTGCCACGAGCAACCAAAAATACGACGCTTTGCCAGCCCCGGCGCCATAATACCGTCAAGATGACGAAAAGCCGATAAACGCTCCAAACTTCCAAAAATATCATTCGCATGCCATCAAACTGTCGCACCACCAAATTGCAAAACACGGTAAAATTTTATGCTTTATTCCTGTATCATACAACTCCCAAAATCGATCGATCACCGTGTGTACGTGTGCAAATAAATATGAAAAAAGCGTAGAAGCACTTAATGGACGGGTGGAAAGAAGGGTGGGACGGGGCACAAAATCCAGACATACAAATGCACGCGCGAAACGGGGGGAGGACGAGAAAAAGTTGAAATTCGGGTTGTCGACAATCACATGTAGAGCGCTTCGGGGGCTCCCTCCTTCTTGCGGTAGAGGATGTTCTCCTTGGCCTTCTGGAAGTCGTCCATCGTGACGCGCATCCGCCGCTCGCGCAACGCCAGCAGACCCGCCTCCGTGCACATTGCCTGCAAAAAAGGGGAATTCAATTTTTACACAAACTTTCTACAATTATTTTTGTCGCGCAAATTCATTGCTTATTAAGGTAGAAAAATAGCCTTTTACAGCTAAAAAGTAGTTTTACTAGATTATAATTGGTAGTAATAAAAAAGAAATCAGCAATACTAATCATGCAAAATCAGCAAATTTTGTTGCAGGCTTTCAAAGCAAAAACACGATAGATCAAAATCAACACAAAACGGCCACATCTTGCGAATCAAGTGTTTTTCATCTTGGTCAAAAAGCAAAAACGACCTTTAGAAACCCCCTAAAGAACTCCAAAAATCACCTTAATGTCAGCCCCGGAGAGGTCGTCCTTGGCCGTGATGAAGTCCTCGAGCACGACGTCGTCGCCGAGCGTCATCCGCGAGGTGTGAATCTACAAAAAAGGACTATTGGAATTAAGCTCGCAAAACTCACTTGGAAAATTCGGCGCTTCGTCTTCTCGTCGGGCAGCGGGAACTCGATTTTGCGGTCGATGCGGCCGGGCCGGATCAGCGCCGGGTCGAGCGACTCGATTCGGTTTGTCGCCATCAGCACCTGAAAAATACAGGTGAAAACAAATTAACAACCTAAAATTAATCGCTCTCCCAAAACGCAGCATTCTTTACCTTGACATCACCGCGCGAGTCGAACCCGTCGAGCTGGTTGAGCAGCTCCAACATGGTGCGCTGGATCTCGCGCTCACCGCCCGAGTTCGAGTCGTAGCGCTTCGTGCCGACGGCGTCGATTTCGTCGATGAACACGATGGACGGGGCGTGCTCCTCGGCGACGCGGAACAGCTCGCGTACCATCTTCGGCCCGTCTCCGAGGTATTTCTGGATCAGCTCCGAGCTGAAAATGAAGAGATTAATCACGTGAAGCGTCTACTTGGTAAAAACTTCGGGTTCTGACAGTTCAACCGCGAAAATCGACGTATTACCTACACCGAAAGACATTTCCGCTAAAATGAACCGGCAAAGCGATTTTAATAGCATTTTTTCTCACAATCGACGTTCTTTTGAATCCAGTTTTGGGTAAATTTTGCGCTGAACCAGAATCTGTTTTTAGAATCAGCTAAAGGGCCATTATGAAGAAGTTACATAGCATTTGAGCTGAAAAAAAGCCCAAAATCCCACACTGTGAATGGCTATAAAAATCTTAGTAAAAAACTAGCAGCCCGTGCTCAGAAAACCTGGTATTTCGAGTAAGGTTCCCCGATTTTGCTCAAAAAGTAAGGAATTTACGCTGTGTAACTTCTTCAAAACCATCATTTAGCAGTTTCTGAAAACATATTCGGATTCCGTGCTAAATTCTGTACAAAAATGGCCCGATTTCGACTAAATTATCCAAATCCTCACCCGACAATGCGCAAAAATGTGGCGGACGTCTGGTTGGCGACGGCCTTGGCGAGGAGGGTTTTTCCGGTGCCCGGGCAGCCGTAGAGGATGACGCCCTTCGGCGGCTTGATGCCCATCTCTTCGTAGTATTCGGGGTGCGTCAACGGCAACTCGACGGCCTCCTTGATTTCTTGGATCTGCTGGTCGAGGCCGCCAACGTCGGCGTAGGTTTCCTAAAAAAATAAAAATAGATAAAAGAATTAAAACAACAAGAGCACCTGCGGGGCCTTCTCGAGCTTCATCACGGACACCATCGGGTCGGTGTCATCAGATAGGACGCCGACGACGGCGTGTGTCTTGTGGTTGAGCAGCACCGAGCAGCCGGGCTCCAGCTGCTCCTTGTCGACGAACGACATGATGTTCACGTAGTGCTCACTGCCGACGTTCTAAACACGGAAATAGCGTTTTTAAAAAGATTTTGCGACATGTCAAATGAAAAAGGAAATTTGGAGGACCCGGGAAAAGCTTGGAAATTTCTTTTGCTCGAAAATCTCTCATTTTTCGTCCAAAAATCGATATTTTCTAAACGTCTTCTGCGTTTAGTAACAGCCAAAAACAGTGTGGAAACGCATTCTCCATTTATCAGGGCAAATTTGGACCCTAGACATGATTTTGGAAACAAACAAACAAATCTAATTGGGAAACGCACCGTGGAAACAATCGCGTGGTGGTCGTCGATAATTTCCTCGAGCGACCCGACGGCCATCGGCGTGCCGCGCAGCTCGTCGACCTTGGTGCGCTCCTCCTCCTGGCGTTCCTCTTGCGGCTTCAGGCGCTCCTGGTTCTGGATGAATTCCTGCTCCATCAGCAGAAAGTCCTTGATCCGGTCCATCTTCAGCGTCTTCAGCCGACAGCGCGCGTGCGGGGTCACTAAAAAAGGGAATTGAAGGGTCAAATTCGCAGGCGATACCAGCAGGCAACTTGTTGGCGGCGTCGGGTCCCTTGCTGCTCTTCTTCTTGCGGCCGATGCGCGTCGGCACCGGGGCCTCGTACCTAAAAAAAGAAAGTTGAGTCAATGATTATAGCTCTCACTTCTTTTTCTTTTCCTTATCCGCATCACCGCCTCCGCGCTCGTTGTCGCCGCGTTTTCCGCCGAAGCCGGACTGTTGTTGTCCCATCTGAAATGTGACTTTGATCAAACGATTAAACGACATTCCAACGAAAAAAGAACGGAAAACCACATGGCAATGAATCAACGTTTATGGCAGAAAAACCGGCGCTACTTAAGTTTGCTGGCCCCACTTATATTTCGCCAAAACCTCATGTTTCCGGGCCAGTTTTTTGCGCTGATTACGAAAAACACTATCCTAGCCCGCGAAAATGCTATTTAGGAAAAAATATTAAATTAATATTTTATTGAATATCGGGAAAATTCCATTTTACGGCGCTTGCGAAAAACTCGTATTTTTGTGGGTTTTTAACTAAATAAATAACCAAAAACTGGTAGTTACCAAGAAAAAATAGCTTGTAGCATTGTCAGGCAAGGCGGGCCGTCGCTTCGGATGGGCTGCCGCTCCACTCTTTCGAAATCGGGGCGCCTGGCCGCTGCGCGCGCCTCGGGCGCCCCGATTTCGAAACCCTGTACGAGCTCGCACCCATCCGAAGCGACTAGGCCCCGGGTGGCACGAAGCCTTATTTTTAGGAAAAAACGAACGCAAGGGATAAGCCTTCTTGGAAATAGGGTTTTCCCCGTTTCATAGGCCTCCCACTTCAACGCCCTAGTTAACCATTTGAAACTCAAACCATGAAAACTGACAATGAAATTGTTTTTCCCTTCAAAACACAACTTTGACGATTCGGGATAGTGTTTTTCGGAATCAGCGCAAAAAACTAGCCCGGAAACATGAGGTTTTGGCGAAATATAAGTGGGGCCAGCAAACTGAAGTAGTGCCGGTTTTGGCGAAATATAAGTGGGGCCAGCAAACTTAAGTAGCGCCGAAAAACCCTAGTGCTGGTTTCTAACTTCAAAAGAAAAAGGCAAAACCCTTTCGCCTAGGAACTCTCAAAATCGGCGTTTTGCCTGCAATTCGTGAGCTTCTTTATGAAGACTACTAAATGCGCGAAACCCCATCAAAAATCAGCGTTCTCAGCTTGAAAACCGGGAGCTAACTTATAAAGTCCAAATAAAACTAGCGAAAAAAACAGTAAAAGCAGCACGTTTTGGCATGGAATCGATCGATCGTGTAAAAAACCTACATCTTAGATTAATTTGAATCAAAAATTAGTTAGCAAACTAGTAAAAAAACTTTCAAAATGATTCTATTTTGCTCAAATTTCGGTCTGGGTTTCCCCCCAGACTTTTGGTGATTTTGGGTGCAATGGGGGCGCGGCATAGGGCTGTCGATAGGAGCCAGCGTCCCCGGGAGCCGTTCAAAAACAAGAAAGGGAAACATGGTTTTGATTTTTATAAATAGTTGAATTAGGGTGGATTTCGAAAAATACAATAAGAAAATGAGGTTACGAACGTCGGACATGGTGGCCGGAGGACGAGAAGCCGAGCCTTGAAGGAAGAGTCGAAAAAGAAGATGAAATGGAAGATGTTTTTTTCACTTCTAGGTCCCGGATGCGGATGCGACGATTGCTTGGATGCAAATCATATAGCCAAGTCGTTAGAAGCCGTTTTTCTGTGGATGAATTGATGGTAATCGTCGCTCTCAGCTATCGATTAGAAAATCTGCAACACCGATCCATTTTGCTGCTCGAAATGGGCATGTCACGGTTCAAAATGCGAAAAACTGGACCTCCCGACACTTGAAAATGCTATGAACAAATCCGATGGGTCCTGGAGCGAGTTATACAGCTGGTTATAACGCACTTTTAGTTATAGTAGTAAATAAAAATTACATTTTTGATAAATTGCCAAGTTTTTCAGGTTTCTAAGAGTGTTTCTATCGTATCACTACCAACTCGATATAAAGATGTCACAGCTAGCAACCCCCCCCCCCCCCCGCTAACAGTACAGTACCCGACATCTTTCCGGATCTGATCCCCCGGTTTCCTCAAAGTTGCGACGTGCCGCCGGGGGGTGAGGAACACAATCATCGCCTAGGGACTCGGACTCGATTACAACGGATAGTAAGGAGAGGGAGAGATAGAGAGAGACAAAGAGGAAGCGAGAGAAGCAGAGAAACAGTAGTCACCCGATCGGTCATCCTGGCACTTGGTGGCAGTCGGCGTCGACTGACCCTTCACCTCGTCTCTCTCACTCTCTCACTCTCTCTCTCTCTCTCTCTCTCTCTCTCTCTCTCCCTCTCTCGCCGGCACCCATCTGTCATTGTAGCGCCTGGAAATAAATAATATTTGTTGGTTTCCGCAAGGATTTCTGCCAGCTTGCCTGCCGAATTCAAATGTTAGAAAATTCCACAAACAATCTCTGCCCTCCTCTCGGGGTCCGTCCATTTCCTCCTCCAATCTCTGCTAGCCTGCCCTCCTCTCGGGGTCCGTCCATTTCCTCCTCCAATCTCTGCTAGCCTGCCCTCCTCTCGGGGTCCGTCCATTTCCTCAAACAATCTCTGCTAGCCTGCCCTCCTCTCGGGGTATTTCCATGGCAATTTGGCAGCGTTGCTTTTAGCTGGGTCCCATCTGCCTTCCAGTCTATCTAATTTTCTGTCCGGAGTAACAGCCAGATTCCCCCCCAATATATGTCCATCAGCCATATTGCCAGCCACCAGAAAAAGGGGCGGGGCTACCGTAATCCGCCAACACGTAAAAACAGTCAAATAAACATTTTAATCTGTTTTTGGTGGATAAAAATTATATTCACTCTAATTTCTGTGAGAATTTCCTGATTTTACAAGACAAAAACCAAGACCAAAGGCGAAAGCGACATTCTACAGTAATTTAGGGAAATCGATAAAACCCCACGGCTTAAAAACGAAATGTTCTACGCGTTTTTGGGGTAAAAAAATTATGCTCAACTTTAATGTCTCAACAAGCCGATCGTCAAAGATTTTGTTACGGCCACAAACGGCAAGGCGCATCAGAAATTTGGACTAACATTTGGAGAACGACCTTTCAATTCATCTGCATTTAAAATTTGAGATTTAAGGTTTTAAATTATTTAAAAAACGAAGAAAATGGCCAGAATAAAAAAAAATTTTCTTAAGTTTTTTAGTAAGCAAAAAACTTCTCGAAAGGATATAAAAATGCGCTATAAACGCCCGGAATTTTGATAAACAGTTATATGCTAAATAACATCTCCACACCCCCCCCCCCGCTATCAGCCCAGCACCGGGCGGGCGTGCGCGTCGCGCGTCGCGGCGCGCCTAAACCCGCCCGGAATTTTTTTGGGGCTCATTTTTTGGTGGTTCCGGTCGGCGGAAGCCAGTAAATCGGTAGGGGGTGTGGCAGAGTGGCCGCGGGGGGATTATAGCAAGTCCCTCCCGTCCGCCCAACTCCTGTTTACAATTTGGCGCCTGCCGGACGAGTTTCGCGCCCCCTGCAAAGTTGTATAGTTGTCAGCGTTTTTTTATTTCGTCAAAAAAACACTTCCAAATTTAATTTAATTTAATTAAACATTAAAACATAGTGGTTAACATTAAAAAAGATAATTAAAAAAATCCCGCTGAAATCAATATAATGACGGTCCCTTTAATCGGCTTTCTAATGCAAGCACCTCGTGAGAAAAGCGTTCCCTCATCTGCCCCCCCACCCGCCAATCGGTTGGCCATTGTGCCCTCCAGCTATTCCGGGTGGCAGCAAGAGCGGAAGCGCCTTTATCTCTCTCTCTCTCTCTCTCTCTCTCTCTCGCGCCCTTAGGGAATATGCCCTAACAGAGAGAATGTCGTCCCAACCCGAAATCTTGCAACATTCGTTGCATTCTGGCTTCTTGTATACACCGATTTCTGCCTCAAGAATCTCTGCTAGCCTGCCCTCCTCTCGGGGTCCGTCCATTTCCTCAAACAATCTCTGCTAGCCTGCTTTTTTTCTTGAGAGGGGACAGTGTCGATAGCCTCTTCGTCTCGAAAAATCGAAGATTAATGTTTCAAAATCGCGCAAGTATCCAAACTAAAAATTGCCGGTAATTCCGGAGGTTCCATCTCATATTTGTAAGCCCACTTTCTTAGATGGCATTCCTCAAGGATCTCTGCTAGCCTGCCCCCCCCGGTAAAATCTTATTTCCAAAAAGTCTCGGCGAAATCACTCTTTCAAAAAATATGTTTCTAAATTTGGGTACTTTCGATTCGAAAAATTTAAGCCCATGAAGCGGATGAGGATGTGTAGAAATGCCCTTCCGATTCCGTTTGTTTATTTCTTGTCTTTTCCTGCTTCTTCTTTGGATTTTCCACCTCATAATCCCCACTTTTCACTCCCAGTTTTCTTAGTCCGGACGCTCAATTTGCGTTTATTTTTCGATTTTATAAATTTTAATTTTTTCAACTATTGTTAGTACCTGGAAACGGGGTTTGTTTTGATTTTGATGCTAATAGCCAGCTTTTTGCTTCCGATATACAGGGTGGCCCAAAAAAAAACGACCCATCTGGCATTTCACCGTGTTACATCCAATCGGTCCCAAATTTGGATCAGCGGTGTATCAGACCCTAAATAACAACAATCCTGACTTATAGTCCCGCAGCTATAGTGGTTCTCGAGTTATAGCATAAATACTCTTTTCCCGGAATTCTGAACAGTTTTTTCGGCTATCTTTTTGGACTTTGAATCGATTTGCATCGACTTCCGACGCGAATCCCTAATTTCGCTTGAGAACTTGGGTAACTTTGCGTTGTAAAAATAGCCTAAATCAAAGCTTATTTGATTAATTTTAGCCCGGAAAAAATTTCTTAAGGTAAAGAAGGCCTACCGGATCATTTTCACTTAAAGTTTAGGGGATCTAATTCCACGAAAACCCTATGGAAAATGGAAAATAAAGTTTGTTTTTGCTATAACTCGAGTACTACTGTAGCAATGGGGCTAAAAGTCAGGATTGTTGTTATTTAGGGACTTTTACACCTCTGGTCCAAATTTGGGGCCAATTGGATGTAACACGGCGAAATGCCAGATGGGTCATTTTTTTGGGACACCCCGTATTTATCCTACTATTCATTGTGCGATTTTAGACCTCAGAAAGGCGCAATATTGCTGAAACACGGTTTTGTAAGAATGTTCCTAAAAGCTATGC